CCTGTGATTGCTAATTTCCATATTTCCCCCTTGTGACCCTAATTTAGATAAAATTCACAAAGTAACATAACTTGATCAATGATTGTGTTTTTCACTTTACAAAATAATCCATCTTCTTTAAACAACTCCATCTCGTTTTAATTTTAAGGGTGTTGATTTACTGTTAAAGCACCATACAGTTACAAGTATAAAGAAAGTCTTTTGTAGTTTTGAATATTTATAATTAATATTAATTATAGTAAATTTAATGTAAACATAAAGTTTACTGTTATCAAACAACTAATCAAGAATCACCGAATCAACTCAAAATACTTTTAGAACTTTAAAATTTTCTGCTGTATAAAAATAAATTTTTTAATTTGTTTTCTCCAATTATCACCAAAATGTTTTTTAGAAAAGATAGATATCATACAGTTAAATCAGTTAGTTCTCATATTAAGTGTAATAATGTAGTGCGATGAAAAACATGCTATAAGACAACGTTAAATGCAAACTGTTGTTGTTGGAATCGAAAAACAGGAATTCCTTAAGAAATCAACTGATCAATTGTGAAATCTATTTTCACCGTGATTAAAGTACGGTTGTCGCCTTCGTGTTGTGTGATTTTTATTTTGGTTCTCCTAGTTAATAGTCGATTTTCAATCCCTATTTTTCTTACAATCTTTCAATTAAGTTTTGAGGAACAATACAAAGGGAAGGTAAACATAGATAGATGTTGTTTGGCATTGAAATCCAGAATGCACGTTTCATCCTATTTGGGACTCGTCAGCTGAATACACTTGCATTCTATAATTGATGTTACTCCAAGACTTGAACCCAGTACCATTCACCTCAAACACCATCGTATTATTCGTATATACGGAGTCCAGACATAAAATCCGCACAGGATGCATATATGCCAAAAAGAATGGTCGTTTGCAGTCCTTACACATCGATGAAAAGATCTAAACAACCAATATATATATATATATATATATATATATATATATATATATAGTATTTCAACTCGTTTTTTAAACTTTTAACAGGGTTTTTTAAAATAACCAAAAAATTTTTTAAAATTTTCACAGCGTTTTTTAAAATAACCAAAAAACTGAATGAACTTATCTGAATTCACCGAATCAACAAATATTTTAGCAAAGAGAACTTCATTTTCTGTTATAGCCGATATTAAACTTATATTGGTTCCACGCGTTGATGGAACCAGGTCACTTGCCGGTTTTCCTCTTGTAGATCTTCCCAAGGTTCTTCTTAAGTACAAATTAAAAGAAGATTCATCTATAAAAACTTTTATAAATGTATCTTCAATGTTCATAAAATTTTGAGCATAAATTTGGCGTGTGTTTTTGCTGGATTCCGAATTTATATTGACCGATGTATAAGAAATCTTTTTCAAAGTAATCTGAAGTCTATAAATTATCCTTCTTATAGATTCAAGAGAAAGGCCTATAGAAAATATGTTTTCTATTTTTTCTCGAATTTCTACCATCGTTATTAACGGGTTTAATTCTATCAATTCTTCAACAAAATTGATAATATCACCGCATATCTTCTTATTTGATGGTTTTCCTGTTTTTTTCTTCTCAACTCGCGATTCCTTTTTATACAACCTCATAATATTTGTAGCGGCCCGATAGTTTACATCTGTAAGAAATGCCGCATCCTTGACGCTGTATCCATCTTCAATAACTTTTTTTATAAGGCTTTTTCTTTTTTCAGTCGAAATCAAGTTGTTTTTTCTATTTATTTCTGACATTCTAAGGATTACAAAAAATTTTAAAAAACTGTGAAAATTTTAAAAAATTTTTTGGTTATTTTAAAAAACCCTGTTAAAAGTTTAAAAAACGAGTTGAAATACTATATATATATATATATATATATATATATATATATATATATATATATATATATATATATATATATATATGAACGATTTGGAATTCATCACTATCATTAACTGGTAACGTTTGCTACTGAACAATCTGTCCCGAAACAATTTACACACAATGTTTAATAAGGTTAGCACCGTATCAAAAATTTTGGTTAGGTTGAAGATCTGAACCGCTATATTTTGATTCTGATGAATTAAAAACTAGTGCAAAACTTTTATTCATTATTTCTTGCCTGTCACTGGCTCCTCAACTGACACCAGTTCTCATTGAGGATAGTATATAAAATCCTTTCCATTGTCAGTTTCATCGGTTATTCTCTTAAGTTATTCCACGTCTCTTTGTTGTTTCGCTGGTTGACTGATTTTTATTGCACCATCTCAGAATATGTGATCTTAGACGATTTTTTTGTTACGCTGAATTTCATGTTCTAATAGATTAGTCAAGAAAATTTTGTTCGTAGTTTCAATACACAAGCCATTTTGGCTATTTTAATTCCGAACATTGCTTTCATGATCCAGTGTATAATAATGACTTTATTCAATATTATATGTCTAATATATTTGTCTTGCAAGCTGTGATTAGTTTCTTCTTTGTGGCTTATGGTATTTGGAGTGTATATCTTAAGTTTAAACCAACACGCAATATATTCTAGGAACTCTACTGGTATTAAACATTCGTTACTTGTTTAGCGTAACTTCGGTTGCTTTTAATACTTTTTTGATTCTCATTTTATGATTCTGTTTCTCGGTAGGCTTGCTCAACAATGTATTGACCCCTGATTTTAATATGCTCGAATTAAAACTCGCAGTTCTGTCTGCGAATGCTTTTCTGTGTTACAAAAACATATACACAAGCTAGTTTGTATTTTGTTGAATATAGATTTCAATGCATGTTTGAGAACTAGTGTCAAATTGACAAAGGCTAATTATTTGTAGATATATGTCATACTTGAAAATAAAATTATAAGAAAACTATTTAGAGCTAATCGGTAGATTGTTTTAGTAGCATTGTTTATTATTCACGCAGTGTAATATTGAAATTGACCATAAAGAGTTTTCATATTCACTCCATAGACAAAGCAAGGGACTTTAAAAACCCTGGATGGATCAATAAAGCGTCAGTTTCCAGATGGACGTGTCACAAGTGTCAGTCTCCGATGTACTGACCTAGATCAAGAAGTAAGCCTTATTCTCAATTTTTACTGAGTATCATTTACTCAATCTTTTTCCTTGAAATATTTTGTGACAGCTTTTGATATCGAAATGCTTCTTTTGTAGTAAAATAATCATGTTTGGATGAAACTAATTGTGACTTTACACACTCAACAGTGTAACGCTAGGGCTATTATTTGTAGGATGATGATTTCGTGATAATATATGAGTATAATTATATTTCCTGCCCTGAAAAATGATAACATTGTAAGCTAAACCGAAATTGTGAAATATTCACTGAATTATGGCAGAATTTTGATTTGATTTCAGAAGTATGAAAGTAACATTATCCGTGAAAAATTATTGAATAACACTAATTAAAACAATTTATGCCAGAGGATAACAAGGTCTACTGCACGATGTACATCTTCGAAGTGATGTTACCACTGAATCACCAAAATGAAATAAGGGTTTGGTTTCTAGATAGGAAGGTGGTCGTGCGTGACCAGCCTCAAGCAGTTCTCCCTTGGGTTCTGAAGTAACGCTCCCAGGACGCTAAGACCCTTCCTACACCTCATGACTGACTGAAGATGGTAGGTCAGCTAACAAAGTTCGGAATTCTCAAACTTACTACAGTCTACGTTGTTTCATTTAATAATATCTGTGCTTCGCAATAAGTTTCTTTGGTTCAGTTACTGATTTCTAAACTGTTGGTTCAACTTTTTATATTTTTAAATCTGGATAGATGGTCACAAGTTTGGGAGTATCAAAAGCTGTTTTGGAAAATGTTATATTTTGCCACCAAGAAGATTCTAACTGGTTAGTTTCTATCGTTTAATGTGCCTTGGTTTGTTTCCCACTCATAATATTATTCGTTCAAACCCGTATATTAGTAATATTTTAAGTATTCCTTCTTGCAGAGGCTGTAGCTATGGCACTACCTTCTTTTTGGAGTTACTAGTTTCAACCATTCCCTTCGCATATAGATATACATAAATTTCGTAACTCTGGCTCAAGTCCGTGTTATATTCGGTAAATCAACTCTTGTTTCAATGTCAATGATACTACTTGATTAGAACTTAGTATTAAAAGTAAGCAAGTAAGCATCTCTTTAATTGACATTCCATAGTCTTAGCAGTCAGAGTATTCGAAAATAAACATATTCCTTGAACTGGAAGAAAATTCTTTTCCGTCTATCAAATGATATTGTGGAAAGAGATTTCCGAACAAGTTACGTTATCAATGTCATTTGCAGATTTATTATATGTTTTCATACAGAATAATGTAAAGAATAGCAACAGTGAAAGATTTTATTTAATGCTATCATGGAGTACACTATTGTTATAACATTAAGTCTTTTATTCCGGGGATCTTATTTTTTTTTGTGTCAGTTAAATATGACATTGATAATCTTGAAACCTATTAGGTTTATTTTAGAACTTGCTTAGTTGGCCGTAACTGGCAACTTTAGTTGTACTACAATTCCCTATGTATTGTAATATAGTTTCCTGTATCCTTCTTTATAGGCCTTTACAAGAAGCGAAATCGGTAAAACAACGTTTCGACGATTTGTTTGCTTCATCACGTTATGTGAAAGCACTGGATGCCATTCGAAAGTGTAAACAAGATAATGTTAGTGATAAAACTTAATAGCATTCAGAATTTTTCTTTAAATAATATGTGCATTAAGAGCTATACTTTTGATTTTAGTTATATTATTTCCATTTAGATATTTTTATAATAAACAATTCTTCACTGTTGAAACAGTTCATCATCAGTTTATTTAAAATTTCGAGATTTCCGTGATCATTAGAGTGTTCTATAGTTTCGGATTTGATTTGTGTGATCAATATTCTTACGAGTACTTTAATCTTTTGTTTCTGCTTATTTGAAAATGATGGTCTTAATTTTACACTGAATGTGATAGATATCTGAAGGGAATATAGTGTTTTACGGTTTTTCTATTTCGAAATGTCGAATCCTGTTAGTTATTCCACTGTTTTCACTTGAGGAATTAATTACTATCAAGTGGTGTTTCAGCCTGTAGGTCATAACTATTTCAGTTTAATTGGTCGTGATGAAATGAAGGTAACTTTGTTAACGTCACAATCGCTATCCAATGCAAAGTTTAATGTATTTATAATTCATCGTTAAAATCACGGATTGATCTTAGCTAGACCACCTTTGAGGACCTAAATGTATGGGATGACCGTTTCGTCCCCAGTATAAGATTTCTCAACAGGGCACATCCATGACCCCCCGCATGCAGAAACCAAACAGAGAACTTTTAATTTCAGGCACATTTAACCTTTAAACTATTGACCTGACATTCACTGGTGTTAATGTCTAGCCTAAATTAATGCATGACTTTGGACAACCCGTCATTCATTATTCGCGGCAAATAAGTGTCTCGCACGCGACATGGATTGAACTCTACTGGTCACTGTTTCTCATTAAGATTATGTTAGGCGATTAAATTAAACTTATTTCACAATCTGAAGTTATAAAATGGGATAGAATAACTGTTATCGCATTGTTTCTGTATTAGTAATAAACTATCTATCAACTATTGTTAAAACCTTATGTTCAGGTTATTTACTTCTGTTTCACGGAATATCAATTTAAACATAAGTTAATTGATTTAAAACTCATATATTATCCACTTAGTTTAAATAACAAATAATTCTTCCTTATTGGAGCTTTATCTAAAAACATACCTAACTCGTGTAATTTTTTGCCTGCTTTTAAATTGTATTTTCTGTTGCTCTTTTATCGAAAATTAAATATTACAGTTATGATTCTATTGTATCTAATTTCTTTTTCCATAGGATGGCAATGTTAAATTATACAAAACTGAACTAAAACATTTGACTAAAAATCGTGATGAAGCTTTGAAAGTAAAACTACTTTTTTGTTTGGTTTATGTTTTGAATTTGTACAAATTGTTTTAGGGGAGGGTAATAAAAGAGGATTTATTATCGTGATATTTAATAGTAGAGAGTTATAACGTCCATACAATCATAAATTCTAACTGCTTTTATTCAAAATATTTATTTTTAATTGATCATACGTTGTATTTCAGCTTTTTATGTTGTGATAAAAGTTTCAGTACAATCTTGTTTTAGAATAATCTAGTTCTTTCACTAAAGATATAAAATGTGCCCATTGAACTAAGTTATTTTTCTTAAAATTGTGGTGTAGTGAGTCGATTGCTAAATGCTTACAATCAGTAGTCAACTGAGAGTTTATTGCGATAAAAAATCTGAAGTTCATAGTTTAGCAGTACAGTCTGATCGCGTTAGCAAAGCTAATGAACTTTAATCTTCAACAAGTTATATATTTCCTTATAACTTCAGAAATTCTCTCTGATACACGAATTTTCTGGTGATAATTTTCTCACATCTGACATTAAATATGTATCTTGTAGTTTATATCATGGGCCGGTTTTATTTAAACAGCCAATAAACATCAAGGGTCTCTGAACAGCTCTCTCGTCTTAAAATAAGACTTTTCAGAAGTGCACATCCGTACAGCCACCGGGGATCAAAGATAAACATGTGAACTGTTGGATACTAGTGGTCCAAAGGTTAAGCATTTATCACGAGACTTGAAGGCTCTCGTTTTGATCCCATAACGGGCGTGAATGGAATCCACTGACGACTCCCACACTAATACAAAACAGTTTTCCAGTGCTTCCTGGTCTTCAATGGTTTTATTTTCTAAAAACAGTCCGTGATGCAGATTAGGATATTCACTGATCTCTACAACATCCTTTAATAAGAATTAAAAATAAAGTTGGATTGTGTAATATTTGGAAACATTCTAACAGATACGACTATCGTAATTGCAACACCATACTTTTCTTATAAATCGGTTTCCAAAATATCATATATTATTAATTACTGGAAGCTTTATGAATAATAAATTTTTTTATAAAAGTGTAGTTGTAGCAAATAAAAAATATGCATATTCACATGTATTGTTCTATTTCAGCTTCGTTCTGAACGAGAAGAAACTCTTCATTCCATTGAAAAACAGGAAAAACATTTGGAAGAGATTTCCGCAAAACTTCAACCTGTCGTTGTAGGTCAAGTCATATATTTGTTAATTGATTATTTTCCTATTATTCAAGCAAAGGAAATTTGAGCCATAACTTTTCCCTTCATGTTCGGGTGTATGTTTACTCTCGACTCAATGATATAAATTAAATAGGATATATTTATCACACAATCAGTTGCATAAATATGTAGAGATCGACAGTCAAAGTCGATTAGATTTAGCTTATTATAAAGTGCTGATCGGCTGTCAACTAGTTCTATTAAAAATGTTTAAATCTAAATATATTTTATTCTACGTATTTATAGCACAAAAAATCCTTATACCGTACATTACTGAGAAATAGGTTCACTCATAGCTCGAAGCAGTTGGTTATTAAATTGTAAATTTTCCGACTATATGATATGTTGTTGCTTGACATATTACCGACAAATGTACTTTTTGGCATCAAAACTATTTCGGCTTATGTTTCAGTGTTGTTTTCGTCTGTTGTAACAAACTTTTTCAGTGATTTCCTACAAATCATTATTCGAAACTCTGAACCAATTCATTCAAAAGTAATTGAGTGATCTAAAAAAAACGCTTATCATAAATTTCACTCGTAGAAATCATTTTACTTTTTTCAAACAAAAGATCTCGTAATAAACTTAAAATCATTTTGATGTTCTAGAGAGCATCTAAATATATATTATACTAGCCATAGGAAAGAATCCACTACATTTTTAGTTCTACCGTGTTTTCAAGTGCTTCATGTCCGCTGATAATCTCTGAAACACGTGAGGGTTGAACAGTTTCACATCTGGTTGTTATTCATATATTCATATATGTTTAATCTTATTTACTAAATAGCAAGGTGTCGTTCATAATTATAGGATTCGTTTTGGCATTTTATCGGCTGGTTCTATAACCATTTAGTTAATATAGTTGAAGGGAAATTTTCATCATATTAATTTTCTAATACATGATATATTTCTGAGCACAATTCAACATTTCTTTACAAACCATGTTCTTGATCTTCTTCACTGTGATAACAACTTGGTCAATTTCAAATTTTAAAATAAACATGTTTCTAGTCGATATGCTCGGTTAATGAGTTTTTAACGATTGCGAGATATAGTGTTTCTTACTATGATTTTTTGCATACTCATAGATATATATTTGTATATTCATAGAATTATTGCTTTGATAGCTGTGTAGGTGAAATCTAAGTATTCTAAAATAGTTTGAAAAATTATTTATTGAATAGAACTGTATAATGTGCTCTTTCAGAAATGTTCTATTCTCATCCTTTTTAAATTGAAATTAATTTTCGAATCAGTTATTCAATTTATTTTCTACATATCATCGAATTTCATTGAATTACAATTAATACATGATTAAGGTTAAAAAGAAACAGCCTATAGTTTATGTTAAAATTGAACAACTAACTTTTTGTTAATTAATTTGTGTATTAGTTAAATATACAAAATTTACTGATAAACACTATCCTGTATAAAATATAATTACTAGTTTCAAATTAATGTCTCTTAAAAGATTGTTTGCCATAATACTCTGTTTATGAATCAATTCAAAATTTACTTCTATTATAAAGGAACAACTCAATCGTTATAAAGAACGTTATGCAGAGCTAACAAAATTACAAGCTGAAATTAGTAAGTTTAACGTTTTTTAAAATTGTTTTTCAACATTTCCTTTAGGTATGAATCAAAAGATGAATAAATTATGGTGGGAGTATTTGTTTCTTTAATGTTTATACGTGTCACTTTCGATGACTATCTAAGACCGTTTGCAGTGACGCAGGTGCATTCATTCTTTATGTTCTCTCAAATCCTAATCCTCTGGATTGTTCATCACCTTCATCTTTTTCTATTCAAGTTTATTTCACTTGATTCTACCTTTTCAATAATATTTTTGAACCCCATTCTTCCCGACTACTGCTAATACGTCTGTCACCTCTACTACTACTATGGGATTTGAATTGACAATTGTGTATCTGTGCTAATGTGTTATGACAACTTGAACTAATGTGCACACGTACGAAGTTCTACATCGTAACTAACTGATTGACTGAATATCTAAGATCTAAATTTTATGTAACTTGTCCTTTAATATCTATCAGCAAATAAATAATCCTAATGTTATTATTTTTATTTAATATACCTCTTTAATTAATCAGTAGTATTTGACGAGTACTTAAAAAATAAAATAAAGTCTCAGAGCTTTCAATATATTATCTGCAATTGCCTAACTAGTTTAGTGATTTTAAATTAAAACTTGTTAACAAATTGAATTTTTTTCAAACATTTTTTACAGAGTCTTGTGAAGCTGAACGCGCTCATTTAACAGATGCAATAAAGAATTTAATGTTAAACATACAAGATGAGTATCAAGGTAAGGATTTCAGTAATCTAATTTTTTCTACTCTTCTTTGAATATAACAACTCAGATGATAAATTAAAGTTTTATATCACTCAGAAGGTCCTGAAAATACAATAGTCTGTTTGTAACTTCTGTTTGATAGACTTTAGAGTAGAAAAAATAAGCGACAAATTATATTACCAGTAATCCGACAACATCTGAATAAGAAACGCCCACATTTACTCATCATGGTGGGGTAAGTTATAACGCAAGTGACAAAACTAAGCCAGGAAGAAGTGAACTTAGAAAGTAGTATTGTTAGTTATGTTCACTAGATAGATAATGTCATCTCTTTTCCCATCCACGGCTCTGAAAACCATTACCAAATATCAAATAACGTTGTGAAATGATAACAGCAATTAAGTTAACACCAGATACATAGACCGTGTCGTAACTAGTCACTGTTTAGTAGTCTCTGGAGTTACCCACTATTCACCAGATGCGTAAATGGAGTGTTAATATTAAATCTTCAACTCTTAATAACATTCGAAATGTTGTAACTAATTTGAAGCATAGAAGAACTTCAGTCCCTTATGTCCTTCATTGATGGGCGATTATGATAGTCAATTACGTTGGTTGCAATGTTGGTTTGAATTCAGGGATTAAATGTGATTCTACCCGATTTCTTATTGTTACTGAGTCTCCCGGAGTCTCCCGTGAAGAAGTCAGTATTAAAGTTGTAGGGTTCTAAGTGGTTCCAGTCATTTGACGCTTAGTAGGGACTGTATCTAAGATATGAACGCGATACGCGCTAACCCTCAAACTAACTACTTGAGCGAGAAGGCAAGAATGGGAAGGAAAGTCTATTTGACTACCGAGTAATACGCATATATATATATATATATATATATATATATATATATATATATAAACACCTATCCTACTTGGAAAATAAGTCCATCTCTTAACCAATGCTATGCATTCATCCTTTAGGACATTTCTGTTGACCATCAAATGACCTTCCTATTCGGTCACCCCTGATTGGCTCTCGGTTTTACGAACCTTAGAATATTAGGGAGACCTCAGCCCTGATATGGAATATTATGGTTCAGTCTTTACTTTTCATCAAGTTTTGGAACGAAAGAATAGGGAGTGTCGTGGCCTTTCTTTAATCCTTCATTATTTATAAATTAAGTTATTATTGTGTTGTAATAATGGGTATGCGATCATTCCCGTTTATATATCTTAATTTGACTGCAAAATATTTTGTTTAGTATATATTACCAACGTTTGTTATCGAATTACTGTACGGTGTCCATTCCTGTATCTGACCAACAAATATTTCCTTACTAAACTGGATGGGTTCTAATATCCCAGTTTTATTGTTCTTTTCACTTAATCAGTGCATTATCGGTAAATTAATAGATTCCAAATTTAGGTCAATAATTTGCTGTTTCTGTGACTAACCAATACTAGTTGGAAAAGTTCTCGTAACTTCTTTAGATTCAGTAGGTGTTTTCCGTAAATATTTCTCTTACGAGATGCAACTGTCAACCGGTTCGGCTGTACACTTAATTCTGCCGTTTCAACTATTTGCCATATTTAGCCTTCACATACTGGGGTAGTTTTAAGGTTAATATACAGACACGTACTTGTTTGTTAAACAACATTAAAATTATTGACAGGGAATCCAGCTTCTTTATTATATTTTTTTACTACCGCTTGATCGCTAATTCAATATCTAGTCATCTATCTTTTTCATTGTAATCAATAATGGTGTGATTTCTTCCTATACAAATAATAAGTCTCAGTTTTAACTAGTACTTGAGTCAATTTTGACTTATGATGAGAACTAACCAATGATTAGAGTATTTACAGAGATTACTGAATTTTATAGTTTACACCATGATCTGACTTCCATATCCACCGGTGACTAATTTCAAGAGGTGATTCCCGTAACTCTGGTCACAAACGGTGACCATGTCGTGTAAAATAGCTATCCACCAACAATTAGAAAGATGGCTGTACAACATCACAAATCGATTTAAACTATTCGACGCTGGCTCATAGGTTTCAAGGGTAAAGTCTCTTGATGAAATCTGAAAGTTTTGATCGCTGGTAAGACCCATGGATACGCACTACTAAGGATCCCCATATTATGATGAAGTAGTTGTCTAATGCTTCTTGGTTTTCGATTTCTGTCTATCAATGGTCAGTTCGTCTTGTAAGGTGTAACCAATAATAATGATTAAATTTATTCAAAATTATGCAATCAAGTTCTGATCTTTCATGTTTGTCTGATAATATTATGTAACCTATTTTTTTATACGATAGGAAGTGATGAAGAATTAAAGCGTTTGATTGAAGATGCCGAGACAGAATATGAAAAGAAAAATCTTCTACTGAATCAAGTTAGTATTTTATAAGCTCAATAAAAATATATTGTGACTTATTTAGTTTATTGTAATACAATAGAGCTCATCTTAGATAGACAAACAGAAGCATACTTACCATTATCATTACAAAGAATTAATACCACTAAACACATGCAGAACAATGATCAGTTATTTGTTTAACTTGAATTTCTCCACATATCGTATATGTGCCTTCCAGCTGTAAATAATATTACTAATAATTCTGCCACATTTTCTCTAACATTATCAGTCAGTCAGAAAGAAGTTATCTTGAATAGAGCAAGAGCAAAATATTAAGCAGAATACCATGATTTGATTTAATTTCATTAGGCTTTTATCAGCTGCTTACAACTTATGGTATTTCAAAATTTAAAATTATCATAACGTTTAGATACTTATAGCAGCAAGACTGGTTATCAATCATCAAGGTGGAATAGTGAAATAGGAGATATAAAGTGTTGTAAACAAATATAATTTCTGCATGAAGATTCCGGATTATCAGATACAGTAACAAGAAATTATAGAGATACATTGATTTAAGTGATTATATAATGAAGTAGTTGAACACAGATGAATATCATCTGAGAAGAATATGATTTAAAATCAATTAGTTAAGAATAGGATTATTAACTTACAATAAAGTGATACGATCAAAATTGCTAGGATGACGTAAACTCAGCGAGACATAGTCGTGTGGTGATGGGATAGTCAAAACTAGGTCAAATGTATATTATTTAACATAACAAGTGACTCCTTGAATATGATGTTTATGAATAATTTGAGTGGAACCTACCACTTACTAAAATGATATTCCAGGCATTTTTTTAAAAAGCTTTTTATTAAGAACATGTAATTCTGTGATTATCACACTTCAGCTGTTATGCATACTGATTCATTTGTTTTTTCTAAATTTTATCCCCCTTCTCATATTATTTTACTAATCATATAACTTTTCAGTCTGAAAATGCTTTACAAAAAAAACGTAAAGAGTTAAATAATTTAGAAACTAATCAAACAAAAACTATTGTCGAGAAAACACAAATTGAAATGGAGGTCAAGGTAAAGAAGAGTTTTGCATATTTTTCTCTTTGAAATATACTTTATACTGAGTCATTTTGTGTATTCCTTATTTTCACGTTTTTTTTTCTGGTAATTTCAATAAAAATTGTAAACAATTCTTTTAGTTATTTGTGATTCTATATTTTGACTTTAAATATATTGTAACATCAGTTCAACAAATAGTTACGTATGTGATAGTGAGCAGTTAGAGCAGTTTGTGTGAGAGGTTACTGTAAAACCTCTGTAAAATACTTCAAAATAAATTTATCGATTTCATTCTAGTCAGAGATTTTTTTCAAATAGAAAATGCACCTGACGCATTTTACTTCTTCAATAAGCCACAATTTACTTCAAACAGTTGCAAATTTTCTTCAAAATTTCATTCCGCGCTTAGTTGCGCTATTCGATACATAAAATATCTAATGTAATCATTTCCTTCAAATACTCTTCAGGTACTGTTTATTTGATAGGATGAGTATATGATTGATGTTCAGTTCTTTCACTATTAGTGAGGCTGAGATAGTTTTCAATAATTTTTACCGGAAAAGATCTAAAGGTCATAATACATGGTAATTAAAATTTGTTGGCTAAAGCGATTGAGATAGGAAGAGCTTATCAGTTAGTCAAACGATTGCCCTTAAATATAGTTATATTCTGTGGTTAAAGACTTCAGATGATTGAACTCAAAATCAGTATCAGTGGTGCAAATGCAATGATTTCCGATTTCGAATGTTGTATTTTTTTATATCTTTCATTCGTTTTATTTCAACCATTTTAGCTACTGGTATTTTTTCCATGCAGTGCTAATATAAAGTGTTTCAGTGAAATTTGTTACGTATTTAAAGTAGATCTTATGTTGTTAACTAGCGTCTACTTCAGTTTAATTCAAGTCATGAGCTGATCAATATTGAACAATCATTAGTAACCTGAAAACACTGAACGGCAGTTTTGTCCTAGTGTAGGGTTATCCCGCAGTGCGTATCCACAACCTTACTAGCAGAAATCGAACCCAAGACCTTGGGTTTCGCTCGCAAACACAACCTCTAGACCACTGAGCCGGTACCAACGGTGTTCAATTCAATTCTTGATATTGAAAGATCATCAGCCATTGTCTTCGGTATGTAACAACTGCCTCATGCCTGACACGGTTGAACTGTGCTAGTTACGGCTTCTTACTGGAACTCCGAGAATTTCCTCACGAAGCTAGTCACTAGTGAACGCTTTACTTTTGTTGTTTTTTCATACTAATCAGAATTGTCCAGCAATGTCGACTATCATGTAATTAGCAGCTTTGGAAAGCTGTTTCTAAACCGCAACATCTATCTATCTATAAGACTAATGAAAAGCTTGATACTACAAAGGACATATGGTGGTATTAAAGAATTCAGTCACAGTATCTATGATCTCAACCATAATATATTTTATTCGTTTAGAACAACACCTTACTGTTTATTAAAAATGCATTTGAAAATTATCACAGAATCGTCAGTATTATGTATTGAAAACTTCTCAAGCCCCACAGAGTTACAATAATTGTATAATCCTACAACTTCTGTGTAATTATCTGATTCTAGTAGTATTTGATTAACAAATTATGAATTAAGCTTTAACCGTATTTTTATGTGAAAACTTTTTTTATCGTTTACTAATGGAGTGAGATTATAATTTAGTATTATAATTTCTTTGAAATGAACACATTTTATTTTAGTTTTGATTATGTTTCAAAAGATAAGAATTTAAATTGTTGTCCAACTGTAATTTTAACTGTTTATTTTTTAGCGTTTAAATGAAGCAATAATCAATCGTGATATGATCTTAGCCTCGGTTGTTGCAAATTATATTCCAAGTATGTTTAAATTGAATTTTCGATATTTTGATCAAATTTTAAAAAATGTTACAATACAAATAAATTTATTATTTTGTCAAAAATTTATTCAACATTTTTTTAAATGATTTTTTAAAAATAATTAATTCAAATAGGAATTCTACTTAACATGTTCATTTGTCTAGTTGTTGTACTAAAATTAAATAAAGATGCTTATTGTGATTTCAATTTTCCAAACTGAGATTCATCAAATGAATTTAAGAATATAATCTACAAATTAGTTGTTTGTGAACTATAACCAATGTGATTGTGATAATCAGTAATTGGACTACAAAGATTTGAACAAAATTTTATTACTGCGAATGGAGCATAATATATATAAACAATCATCATATAGTGTGAAGAATAATTATATCGTTGATTAAAATATGAAACAAAAATTAACAATATACAAATTCTGCATTTATAAAAAATAAAATGATTGTATACTTATTCAAACAAACAGTATTCTATTCATTGAATTTAATTAATATTGTTACGTAAAATTTACTAACAATCCATATTGACTTAATTTGTGCATAATTAAGGTTGATAATCATTTGTAAAAATTGAAAGAACTTTATTATTCTTGTTTTGATATACTATACACATTGATTGTTTCTCGAAAATTTTGTATCCATTAATAATTACACTATATAGAAATGTCTAATGGTTTATCGACCGTGTCATTTTTTCTCAGACCTTTTTCAACACTGAATACATGTATTGCATCATGTAGCTCATAACTGTTATTTTTATGCACTAAAATAATTGTCATATTCTGTTTGTTGTTATTTTTTAAACTAGGTGATAAGTACGAAAATGTAAAACAATTTACCGATGTAGATGTAGAGTATATTGTACAGTTCGTTGATGGATTATTACATGAATCGGAAAATCAATTAACAGAAGTGAAGGTTAGATTATGCGATTGAATGTATAAGCACCAATAGATTATTGTATTTCTTAGGTGTGTTTTCCTTCTTACACGACTAATTTGTCTAACCAGATTTAAAGTGTTTGATTATTGTTCAATAAAAAACTAACTTTCAGATTACAAAAATGTTTAACAGTTTGTTGACACAAAATAGTTACTATTCATACAAATACTGACCGCTAATTATTACATTCTTTAACTATCTTGTATTTGGTTATATTATTATTATTATATTCTGGTATACAGAATGAATCTTGTTATTTTCTAGTTGTAATTCCTAATAAAGGCATGTTTTATGGGAGTTTTAATGTTAACCCGTATATTATAAATGTATTTCCAGCTAATAAGTTAATTTACAGTTGAACCGAACGGTTATTTATTTTCCACCAACAGTAATTTAAAATCAGAGTAATTTTTATTAAGCATATGAGGTTTGTAAAGACTAGAATTTTCTCAAACTGATCATGTGCTTTTTAAGGACTGGCTTTAAAATGTAACATTTTGAGTTCTAGTGAGAAGCTGTAACCAGTGGGCTTCAATGGGTGTTGCGTGTAGGACAGTTATCTAACGCAAAAACCCTTCAGCAATGAGCATCAACAAGCCATAAGGAATCAAACTCAGGACCTTTTGGCTACACATTGAGCGTCTAACCAATAGACCAATGGTGCATACTTAAAAGAAACAGCTGCTTCCTACTTTCTGGTTTAAATCATTATCTCAGCTGAGATCAGTTTGTAATGACATCATATGCATCATATGAATTAGTGTTTTAATGATGAATCCTCAAATTATTACTTCTCCAATGTTTTGTTTTCTCATTTAGCTCTTATCAGCTAATGAAGAAAGAAAAGTTCAATCTGATGTTGATCTGGTTCGAGATGAATTGGCTGCATTGAAACAAAAAATAGAAACTATAAAACGTAATTATGTATGCTAACTTATCTTGTCTGTTTGATGAACAAAAATCTGTTACCTTGTATTCTTTAATTGTCTTTACATACACATTATTTTATAAACAAAATGATAATATTTTTTTTCGGAAAACTCACCATGATGATATTTCACATGTCTTTTATGAAGAGATAGTTAGAGACACAGCTAGTATCACATCAGTAGTGTAATACTTTTGTTCATTATGAAATTTATTTTTACAGGTTATGATCAATTTTTACTGAAATTTTTTATGTAGGTGTATATAGGTTGGAATAAAATTACTACAGTAGTATCTTCTCGTTGATCGACGTTAGTGGTTTCTAGATTGTGTGAATATGTCAAAACCTACTGATAATATTACAATAGAGATAATGAACAGAGATAGTTCTTCGGGACATTATCTGTTTGAGTTGTGATAAGATAGTACATATTTTCCTTTCCGCGTATAGCTATTACGTAACAAAAATTCTTATATCACTCTAATCAACATTTATCCAGTTGGTTTGTAAACATATATGTATGTTGGACGAAAAACTGGTATTGTTTTCCAGTGTTTAAGGAAACGTTTTTTTGTAATTTATTACAGTAGAAACAAAATGAGTTTCTTACATAAGAGAGATTGTACACTCAGGTTGTATCAAAGATGTGAACTAGAAAATAGTTGAACAACTATCATCTTTATCTCTTACTTTAGGTGCTCATCAACTACAACGATACGCATTTCACCAATTTTTTTTTTCAAAGGATTAAACATAATTTTTAAATCTCTCTGTCTAAATTTTTTCCACTGACCAATTTACTAAAATTGAAATTCTCTAGTCGTAAGATTCTTCACAAAAAATTAATTCATCTGAAACGTTACAAGCTTATATTAAAAAAAAAATCATGTATTAGTATTTTGTGTTTAATTTTTTCTTCTGAAATCATTAAATTCATTTAAATAAAAATGATAATTGTATCTTTCTTTATTATTTTTCTCTTACTTTATAGAATCAAAAGTCATCTGAAGTGATTAGTGTTAGAAAACGTTTAGAAAATGAGCATTCATTAAATGAACGTATTGAAAAAATCAAAAATGAATTTCATAAATCTGTATGTTAATGAATGATTCATTAAGGTTTTTTTTTTGTTTAATAAATTTGTCAGTTAAATCTATTAAATGTAATTGTAATAAACTTTATGAAAGCAAAACGTGGGAAAATTAAAATGTATTATTTTGATCAATGAAAATATTCTTCATGCTTAATTTATTGAACATTATCACATTGAACCGTGGTAATAATATTGATAATAATTATAGTAATCTTTGTATTATGCATTTCTATTTTCTTTGAATTTTAAATATTTTTCAATTGAATATAGAAATAAAATATGCATTCAAGCAGGGAATGAGAATCAATGAGACGGCGACAACATTTTAATACGTTCATAACTGATAATAATTATTAATAGCAGCTTTATTCATTAGTGAGAAATGTCTAGTAATTATTGTGCAATATTGTAACAAATATCTCTTCATTATAGAGTTGTGAAGATTGTTGAGTTATATTGTAACCTCCATAACTTTATAATGAAAAAAAATGCTCACTAGTGACTAACTTTGTGAGGAAATTTCTCTGGGTTCAATCAACTATGGGGTTGTGACCAGTGCAGTTCAACCGTGTCGTGTGTGAAACAGTGCACACAGAAAAAAATGGATGAGGTCCAGAAGACTTGGATTAATTAAAGTTAGACATTAACACTCTTGAATGTCGGCTCACTGGTTTAGGGGTAAAGTGTTCACGTGTGAGCTCCTGGTCTCGATTCCGGATAATAGGGTAGTGAGTACGAACTGCGGAATAATCCTGTACTAGGACAAAACTGCTATCCAGTGTTTCCAGGTTTCTAATGGTGGTCTAACGCTGATAGATTCTTGAATTCGATGAAATATCTCTTCAACATGTATTTAAATCGTAATTAAACAATAATATATTCTAAAAATGTTTTTATCGTTCTATAACTGCCTTTTGTGTTCAATCGTTAAAATTTTCTAAGTTTAACTTCCACATATACATTTTCCGTCTAATATATATAAGATGCTTGAATTTCCAAATATATTTTTCGTTTCCTCAAAGGATGGATGAAGAGGAAAATGTGCTAACAGCTACAGTATTTATACTTAGGTTTTCACAATAGTTTGTAACTTTTTTTATAATAGCGCGTTAATACATACAGTTAGTATTCTTAATTAGTAAATTCGAAAATATAATAAACCGGTAGTTTCATTGGGATATTTGTACAACAGGAAAATATGTGGCACATGTATTTAAATGCCTTCTCTATCCGCTTCTTATAATATGTTGAATTCAAGTATCTGAGTTAAGTGTGTTTCATTTCTGTTGATGACTGAAAATTGTATTTTTAACGTTACATTTAATTCAAGGTGCTTAGTCTGTACGAGGTAGTTAACACGCTTGCTATATTGTAACGATACGGTGTTTGGGTGCAATTTAAGAAGTGATCTTGCTAAGGATGTTACCCACAATGTTTTTAGTGCCCTATAGGTGCTTTGTACTCAATGTACCCTGGTATGGCCGACGGTGGTGAGAATCCGCTCTCTAGAGTTGGAGAACCCTCACTCCAAATAAATAGTGCACATGGACTCCTGGATCCTGACGGAACGAATTTCGTACGAACCTATTCTTGATAACCGGATACCCATGGGACTACATCTAACGTTGCTCTGCTGCCTTAAAGATTAGACTTTTGGGTGAAAAGATGTGGGTATGGCCCCTTCAGAAAATTATTTACTTCGGTTTCGGGGTTCGAACAGTATCCCAGCTCTCTCACAAATTCAAGAATGTGTGTGGCGCATAGATATTAAAGTAACCCTTTGCACCAATGCGTACGTGTTTAAATAAACCGAAAAATTCGTTTAATGGTTGTGTGCTAGGTTTTGTAGGGTACTTATCGCTTAATATTACATTTAAGCCGTAACTTATGCTGTTTGTCATCAGGATTATCGTAGGCAGTACACTGACATGTTCATAGAAGGCAGTTATGGATAACTATCCGTTTGAAATAAAACTCATTATAGTGCACACTATATGAGTGGAAAAATATCTGAATGTGCTGCAGATGATTTATGTATTGAACACTGAGGATGTTAATATTAACTTTTTTAAAGCGTTTTTACAAATATTTATCATTGTCAAATTTTAATTCTTTATTTTAGGAAATTACTGTTAAAGATTTAAATATGGATCATGAACTGAACAATTTACATCAATCCATAACGGAATCATTAGCAAAGAAAAAGGAATTGGAGCATACTATCAGTTTATTAGAGTAATTATAAACACCATTATTCATATGATGCTACATATATTTTTTTACCAATTCATCAAAATTAATCTTGAATCTCGATTTTTGGTTAATTTTAGCTTATCATAAGTATCGACACAATTTAATCAAAACTAAAAGGATTTGATGAATATGACGTTGGTCATTATTCAGTAGTTAATTGATTGTAAATATCTTAGTCCTTTTTTGGGACACGTAACGTCTCAGACTGTGATGCTGGTCAACATGAGATCGAATCTTCCGGAGAGCACAGGTTCTCTGAAGATAGCAAACTCACTTTGTAGATAAATACAGAGTATAACGATACCTATGTCCAGGATTTCTTGTCGACTACCTCCAACTATTCAAATATCCTAAAGGCTTTTAACTAGAAATCATTAGTTTGATGAACCAACCTATGTTTGTAAACCAGGGAGCATAGGACAGTAGTTTCGTCCTAGTATGGAAATCGTTAGCAGCTCACACCTTCAACTCTATTGTGGATCGGACCTTGGACCTTAAAGTCTCACAGAGAGTGCTTAGACTGGACCACTAAACAGGCATCCAACGGTTCACATATCAAACTTCCATCACTTCACTGTATTGCGCAACCTTTATCCCGACACAGTAGAACTCTCACCTATTGTCTAACTTAATTTGGTTCCATGATCTCAATGATTAGAAAGTAATAAATAAAAGAATATGTCTACAAAAGTCACTTCAGTTTTTATAAACAGAAAAATATTATTTCCTCTGAAACTCCAAATGTTTTGAAACTAGATAGGTTTCCAAATACGCGTGGTATTCATGCCTCACGATGTAATGCATGTACAAATTAATTATGTAGGAATAATCGAACAAACAAGGTATAAACAAGGTATACAAATGACCGCACCTATAACCTTATCATGCTTGACTCTTAATGATTTGCTTGTATTTATAGTGGATTTCGCCTAAATCTTAATACCTCCATAATTGGATTATGAACTCTGTTATTCTGTAAGCAAAGACATCTGTTATATGCCACAAGTCGATAGGATTGGAGAATCGTTTCCTTGAATTCTGTGTTAAACCTAACATATACAAATAACTAATTTCAAACTCTTAAAATATAACGTTTTAAGTCATATAACATTTCTATTGTTGACAAATATTTATGCTATTATAGTAATTTGTGTAAGAATAATCATTTCATGATTTGAAACACTTCGAATCAGTGTCATGTAGCTCTTCTCATTATCTCTCTAATAAGTTCACTGTTTGCTTGTAAATTGAATTTTATACTTCCTATTTAAATGCTACTAGTATGTTTGTCCATTTTTAATTTTATTTTTTAGTGAAAAAATTGCAACGTTTCAAAAAAATGCCAATAAGTATCGTGAACTTGAACTTATGCAAAAAGAAAGAGCAAGTAAACTTGAAGGAGTTCGCAAAATGTAAGCTGTAGTGATAAAAGTAGTTTATGAATATTTTGGATGACCATTTTGTTACCAAAGCTGTGTGACTGAGGATACATTTTACTGTTTCCTTTGTTCCCAATTATTAATTTTCTATCTTTAAGACGAAGTCGTCATGCTGAAGCATTGGAACAAGTTTTCGCTGGTTCTATGATTCCCCTTATATCCACAGAAAAGTCACTCGAAGAACAAGCTAATCCCAATAATATTCGATCTTTTATTAATGACCAAACACGTCTAAGGGTTGTGTTCGCCAAGCTACTCAATGAATTGGAACAATCGGCGAGAGATACAAGAAGACAGTTGGCTAAGCTTGAACAAGAACGTTCTTCACTTGAAGCTACTTCTAAATTTACCAGGTAACATATTTTGTTTTATTATGTAAGATTTTAGGTGACTCTTTAAACTAAGGTTGTATTTGCCATTATAAAGTCCTTTAGAGTATTTAGAACAAACTTTCAAGTGATTGATTTTGAAATCTCTACATTATATTTATCTGGAACTAATACTGTTACGTAGAAAAAAAGCAACACAAGCCATAAGATTTACAAATCCTAAGTTTCGAAGTATTCGAAGTTTTAGTAGAGCTTTAAAGTAAAAACAATCAGAATGTTTAATCTCTACACAAAAAACAATGAATTTGGCAATGTCGTTCAGCTATGTTTAATCAGTACCAGCCATCAACAAAATTGAACTGATCACTTAGTGAAATTCTTGTTTTATATCTATATTACTTATTAGTTATCAGGGTACATCCGCTTTTGTATCTAATTGGTTGAATCAGTTGTTTTTATTGGCTAAAACGTATTTTAAATGAACATCTATTTTCAATTCGTGCGTGCGTACATCAGTTCAAGTTGCCATACCACATTAACACAGAGATGTAATTGTCAATTCAAGTCTCATAATGGTAGATGTAGTAGGAGTAAAGTTCTAAAGTATTCAACAAGTATATATAAACCAGTGAATTAACCTAAAACGAGAAAGATAAAAATGATGAGGAATTCAGAAGATTATAATATGAGTGAAGACAAAGAGTGGATGCACCTGCGCCAAATGAACAATATCTCAATAAATAGCAATCATAATAAATACAAAACAATTTGCATGATGAAGTATTACAGTTATCATAACATAGTGGAGTAGATCATCTGAAGTACATAAAACTAATTGGGAATAGCGACATATCTAAAGTTGAAGGTTGTGAATTTTTGACAATAACTCAAACTATGGAATATTAGTAAATATTATGGTGAATAAATAATAAACAAATAAGAATAAATTTTCAAAATAGATGTAGCTATTACTTTTAATAAAGATTTCATGACTTTGAAATATTTACTGTTGAAACTTGACTTGAAATTGTAGACTCTTAATCGTATGTCAATAGATTTCAACATTTTTTAATCTGCTCTGTAGAAACCATCTACAAGAAAAACGTGATCAACTAAAAACATTAGAAGAAAAGCTTTTATCTGTACCTGGCGCAGATGATCTGGAACAAACTCTCATCAATCTTCAGGAGAAACGTAGTCTTTTGGAAGAGTGAGTGTCTTCTTGTCTTTTTTAAAAAATTTTTTGACCATTGACGTAATGATCCGTTTTAAAGTGTTGTTTGTATCGTCGATAGTTTTATCATTCATTTATAAAAGCAGCTAACAGACTCAATAATTTCCCATGTTTCATTTTCATTTGGTTTTGTTAAGTCGCTCTTATTCAGCCCAGTTACCTTTATTGATTCGAATTCTCGGACAACTACCCCAATCGATTAGTTCTCAGAATCAAAACACTGCTTGAGCAGGAACGTATTGTGTTTTCTAACAAGGCTCCGAGTTCACTAGGTTTAAGTGTCAGGAGAAAATTTAAATTCGCACTTGAGGTTTTCAAGTAGCTCTAGGGTGCTATCGAGCTATTTCCGGAAGTGTTATTTCGCCATTATGAAGAAATTTTCGACTTTTACGTCAACATTTGTGACCTATATTGTTAGTTGCTTCTTTGAATAAATTACCTGCAGCATTAATAGTTCTAACATCGGTCCTTAATAAATAAGGATTAATAAATCATCAGAAAGCATTTGATCGTGTTGTATAAGATTTCTGTTTGTAATTTAATCACAGTATAAAGATGCTCAAAAAAATTATTTAACAACCAAATATCTACTTTGTAAATACGGAAGTTCATTATCTGCGTCTCTAATAGGACACTTCATAAGTAAATGTTAATTTCACACACAAATGAGATTAAATAAAAACCCATCATCTTCAATGTGTCATTAACGGTCGTAATTAGCAGTATTCCTTGAAGATATCTGCTGGAAAAGAATTTATTGCATGACAATAATTTACCTCAAAACTACGTTACTGTACTTTTAGTGAACAACTAGTAGGTATCAACATTTATCTTCAGGTTAGATCAAATTTAGGCCTAATGTCCTAACAGTACTCGCAGGTAAACGTGATTGACAATGTATTTTCAATGTTCGCTCAATCCGTTAAACGTTATCAATACGACTTTGAGAGTCTTGAAAATTGAGCGAAAGCGAAACGGAACTACCAAAGTGATTATAACAAACTTTAAATAGTAAGAATGAATGTTGACATGAGAGAGCCAAAATTGTTTCATTTCACTGTTTGATACTATTAAGAGTGTAGAAAAAACTTCAATATATATTTTATAATGATAAATAACTTTACTTTTCTTTGACTGTGACAATATATTATTACATTAACCTTAGAGAATATGCAAACGAACAAGGAAGTGTATTTTTGTGGCGTAAATTTCGTGATCGGTTATCTCGTATAGACTCTGATTGCCCAGTTTGTCATCGATGTTTTGATAGTGATACAGAACGTGATGAATTATTGAATGAAGTGAGTAATATAAATCTGTATCTTAAAAAATTAGTTCACATTTTATTTTATAGTTCATGTCCTTAACCTAACGAATATAATGTTTAGTCAGATGACTCTTGACCGGGCTAGTCATTCACTCTTATGATATTGCAGACAATATTCTGATACAAAGGTGACTTAATAATTACAGTATTTGACTTTTAGCTATTAGGTCATAAGTTCAAGCTATTTTTGCTTGGTTGGTTGCATATTATTACTAGCTCTCCTGCATAAAGTACGGCACAAGGCTCAGTACGCGAATCTCTTTTTGGTCGTTGATTTATAGTATAAATTTGATCATATTCACTCTTAATTACCAGTTATATCTGTATAAAAAAAGCTTCCAGACTTTCAAGTCCTCAGCTAGATTTTAACATTTGGACTATCGTATCAGCATATAACTTCAATCGATTCGCGATATTACATAATCATCTTACGATGGCATTAGTACGTAAGTGCCTGACATCTTACGTACTTGAACTTCAGTGGTCACAGAATGTTAGCTAGTATATAGTTTGGATACATCAAATAATGTTACAACAAGTAAACAATTTTTTGAAATAATTTTTCCTGAACATTTATCTATCATTTCTTTTTTAATGAATTTTTATTTACGGATTTCATTCTTCAAATTCTACTTTAGACTAACAAAGAGGCTTAAGTTCTGTGATTCACAAATATTTCCTGTTTATCAGATGACTGAGTACAATCATAATGATATTACATTAAATAAAATGCTACGTTTCGGAAATAATTACAATCGTAGTGAAGATTTTTGAAAACTTTATCGTTATTTTCTGGCTTTTACTTTACTAACTGATTACAGTTTTATTTGTAAACAATGTTTATTGGTATTCTATGTTAATAATAGCAAATGTAATTGTCATACTTTGTTTATAGCATGTTCGTATAGATTTTATGGTTATTTGTTTTTGTTTTACACAGATTGATAAACGAATACAAACGTTACCTTCTGAATTTGAACGTAAAAAACAAGAACTTAACGAAATTGTTTCACGTCTTGAATCATTGGTCGAATTACGTCCTATAAGTTTAGAGGTTGGTAAAATTCTAATGTATATTTACTCTTGAACTGGCGTGTTATTATTACTAGATTATTCATATTATTAATTGATTATATAGACTGCTTCTTTTTTGCAGACATTGATATATCAGTGTTGTGTTTTTCTTCAGCAAAAGGAGGAGAGCACAACATGATGTGAACCAGGGTTATCACTCTAATGTATAACAAACACAACTACGACGCTATATACATGTTTTTATTGAAATCGTAATTTAATCACAATCACTGGACCACTGAGACTCAGTAGGTAAGGTCTTGGGTTCGAATTCTGCAAGTAGCGCGAGTCATAGAGGCGCCCTTTTTATGCGTCTCATACCTTTTCTTCTCTGATATTTGGTTTTACAATTTTACCATGCTGTGCTGATATAGTGGTGTTGTAATTTAAATGGAAACATATGTTCTAAAAATCACTTTGCTTACAACTACTATCTAACTGGCTTATTAAGTGATTTTCCATGTTCGCTTTTTTTCACCAGATCAAACGTTTACATGAAGAACAAATTCCAGATCTAGAATCAAAAACTAAAGCTGAGTTAGATAAACTTGCTGATGTACGCAGTCAACGAGATAAGGTAAAATAAACCGTATACTGCGACAATTTATCTATTCATATAATTATGCTATTTTGTATTCTTGTTTACTCACTGGTTATGTACAAAAAGGTTAATAACTCGTTATGTTGTTTTCTCACTATAGTGTTAATTAGTATTTTCGTGGTTGAAATATTAATTATGAACCATTTATTCACACTTCGTCAGGTCCTGGAACATAGACACACATTCAGGTGTCCAATAATAGTTGCATTCCTGGGTCTTGAGGCGGCGTTTGATGGTGTCAGTTGTGAGGTTCTGTTGCACTGTTCGTCATTGAATGGATTACCGACGAATTACATTGATCTTGTACAGACTCTGCTCGAACACTGGTGATCGAGTCAGAGCTTATGGAGAACTGTCATCGGGATCGATTACCTCGAGTAGTGTTTGTCAGGGTTGTCCACTTTCTCCATTTTTAGTCATCTTTGTCGTTGACATGCTTTTAGAGACGACACTTTCGTTGTCTGACTTTACAGGGGTTTACCTTATACATAGAGACTCGCTTGTTGACTGTTAATTTGTCAATGACATAGTTCTATTCGGTGATGACACTGACAAAATGCAATATTCTGACCACCTTAAACAACAATACAAGCATATTCACGATGCGGTTTTCCCCTTCGAAATGCAAACTGTTGCTTCAGGATTGCCTTGTGTCGGCACCTGAACTAGTTGAGCGTGCCGGTCGTATCACTTTACTTGCGAGTCTCATCAGTGCTGATGAACTGGTGTCTATCGAAATCTCGGCAGGGATACAGAATGCTCGAATGGCTCCTGCCAACTTGCGTCACTGATGGAGTAGGCGAGATATTCGTCATCTAACCAGAAGATGAGTGGATTGAGCAGCAGTTCTCTCCGTTCTCCTATATGAATGCGAAGCATGGCCAGTGAGAGTAGAAGATATCCGTAGGTTATTAGTTTTCGATTATAGATGTCTTCGAAGCATTGTCCGTAAATCCTCGGATCACCGAGTAAGTAATGCTGTTTTAGGATACGGATACTAGGTGAGGATGCAAGATCAATAATTAAAGTAGTGAAGCTTCACCAGCTGAGGTGGTTGGGAAATGTGTTACGCCTAATCACTGACTGCCTTGACAAGCAATGCTTTGTGGTGTAGGAGTAGGCTGAGAGAAAGCTAGGGGCGACCGGACCAAAACATGGTAAAATTCATGAAGTCACTGCCATCTCGATTGAGTCATGTTGGTAGGTGTAGACTGGGGTCTGCAAGACAAATGTAATTGAGAGTTAGAGACATTTAATGACATGGCTTAAATTCGTTTGCGATGGCGCAGGTGCATCCACTCTTTGTCTTCTTAAATTATTATCTTCTGAACTCATCATCATTTTTATCTTTCTCGTTTTAAGTTTATTTCACTTGGTCATACTTCTTGAATTTTTTCGAACCCTTATGGTCTCCATTGCAGCTAATACTCCTACTGTAGTGAATGAGAACACAGGTGGGGCAACCGAATTGTATTTAACGAAAATTACAGAGTTACTCAGTAAAATCGGAAAACCATATCGTAAATCGTTCATTTGCAAAAGATCAGTTCATCCTATGGAACTGGACTGTTCCTGTTGCCAAACATCAATCCATTGTCACTATTCATGTGTTTCATGCAAATTCCATTGTCTTCTAACTTTTCCTTTCTTGATCTTCCCCCCATATTATGCTACCAGACTTTACGTTGACACTCACGTTATATACTACTTATAAGTAGTTCGCACCACAGCACCACACTACTACATCTACCATTATGGAATTTAAATTGACAATTACATCTCTGTGTTAATGTGGTATGACAACTTGAACTGAATGTTCTCAAAAATACCACTGAAAAGGCTTGCAATGGTTTTAGGGTTGTTTAAGAATGTGTCATCGTGTGTAAAATTCACGATTTATTTTCATTTTGAGATGCTCTAACGCGTTAATTAAAAAAGATTATTTAGTTTTGTAATTTTTAATGTTAATAAGTGTTAATAACTTCTCATTAATAACTTTCAACCTATGCTTTTCTTTAATCAGGTTAAAGATTATGGTTATTTGTGTAATTGCTATAAAATCATTTGACTTGAAGTATAGTTTCTGCAGGCGTCTTCATTTACCATCATGTATAACTGGTACTACTGATTCATTAGGCTTACTAATCCAGTGCGTTTTAAAAGGCGCATAGAAATCCAAACACGAAATTATGATATGATGGAATGTGTCAGCGGGATTTACAAGACTATTACGTGAGAAGAAAGTATCCCAGTCAGAGAGTCTCACCAGAGACTGTAATGGTTATGAATGGGGTAGATGTGAAGAGCACCAACTGCTGTTTTACTGCTACTGCTTTTAAATTCATCCTATACTTGTATAAACAGAGGAATATTAGATCTAATATATATATATATATTATATGCTTGATATTAAACACTCCAGATTTGTCCCCACATCTTTTAAATAGTTATTATCACCACGTTTGATGTTGATCATATCAGTTTCATTAAAAAATATCATGCTGTCTTTAGCTATGCCATATTTCAGTTTTATGAGTCGCATTTTCGATCATACCTTCATATGTATTATAAATCTGGTCTCCAATATCCAATTCATTATATGTAAATATGGAAACTAAATTGAATTTTATCTGTTGCATAGACTGTTTACATACAAATGACTAGATTAATATTTGCCCAATGGTTCATGAGATTAGTACAATGAAATAGTTACACTCTAACCACTTCTAATAAGTCGATTTCCGATTTACTCACTTTCACGGACCAACCAACAAAATGTACTATTATTTATTCTAAATGAACTGTCTACTTAGTGCTATCATTCTGTACTAAATAACATTCACCTTTTTTTTCCTAAGTTGATTCTCAATCCATTGACGTCTTGCATGAGGAAAGAAAATCGTTACGTGGGACATTGTAAGTTATTGATTGTATTTAGTTATCGTTCATATTTTTCTTTATTCTTGTAAATATTTGTTTCGTTTTAGAGCAGAATAAATATATCTCATTTGTCGTGTATCTTGATATGATGTGGGTAGTTTTAATACCTAGAGATCTAGTTAACTTATGTTAGCACTGATCTCATATACACAGAAAATGATAATACAACTCGTGTATGAATATATATGAAACTGACTGGTATTTTCTATTATATACCTCTACTCATTGATTAACATTTCATTGATCAAGCACCAAACATATTCTCTTTTGTTTTAAACATCGCTCTGGTTTTTTGCAAAGGAATATCATTATGAAACGAAGATAAAAAAAATAATTTCTGTAACATGATAACACTTTGTCATCATGAAAAACATTTAATATTTGTTTAATAATTATTTCTTAAACAACGTTGGTCGTTGTAAAAATGATTTCAATTGTAATAATTTTCTTTTCATTCAAATTTCATGTAAAGAGTCGTCAATACATTAACAGTTTTTTAAAGAATGGTTAGATTTCGGTGTAATAGGAGTTGAAAAAGTGTTAACATCGTAAAATTATCTACCAGTAGTTTCATCTAAGGAAAGTCTCTTGAATAACACATAACCCTTTTTTTTTAGTTAATTACTATGTACATGTTTAAGTCAACGTAGTTTGCGAAATCACTAACTTACACGATGGCATTTTTTGTCCAGTGAGATGATTTCCAATTATGGACATGGGCATTTTAATCTTTATATTCAAACAGGTGTATCGATAGAAATAGAAGTATGATCAAAGATCCGATTACAAAATAATCTTGCCATAAAAGCTGGGCTTTCTGAATTTCATTTTATATACTAGTTGTAAATTAGAAAGAAACTATTCTACATTCATGAGTTTTTACTTCAACTGTTATCAGCCTATGATAATAATAAATAATTATTCTTAAGATATGCTTTCTTTTTCCTAGGTTAACATTTTCCGAAACTATTGACCAAAAACAAAAACGTGTTGATCAGTTAAATCAAGCTCAACGTGAAGCTATCAATGAAATGCATAGACTTAAAGATCAAATGCATAAGGTATGCATCTGTTTGTTTGTTTGTTCTGTTCAGTGACACCTTGTTCTTTTTCTTTTCTTTTCATTATAAAGATATCATAATTTGCCTACATCTTTATTTGTTTATGTATATATATATATATAGTTGGAACAAGAGAATTTAGATAATGTTCAACTGAAGAATGATCTTTCTCGTCTAACTCATGAATGTGAAACATTAAAAAAAGAATTATCTGAATTAGAATCTGAACAGTTGCCAATTGTTCATTGTCGATGGACTGAAGCATGCGATGAACGCAGTCGTATTGCTAAGGTTCGTGAACGAAATATCCAACAAGCTACTACAAAGGTAGGTTATTAATCTGTCTTAAATCAGTGTTTTATAAATCTGTAGTAATTAATTCTTACAGTTTTCTTCAATGATGTTTTTTATATTGGTATTTAAACTGAATTATTTTACTATTTTAAATAGGTAACTGAAATCAGTGAAAACCTGAAGAAAGTGACTGATGCATGCACGTTGGTCAAAATTGCATCGGATTCTCAACCTGTAGAACGGTTAAAAGTCATTCTTGAAACCGTCGAACAACTTCAACATAATTTTTCCCTTATCAAATCTGAAGCGGACACCTTTATTGAGAATATAGAACACTTAAAAAAACAAATCAGTGAACATAAAGTATGCCTAGTAGTTCAGTAATATTAACTTTTTTTGTAGAGATTTTAAGTGTTATGATCTTATTTTTACTTGTAAATTTTCTAACATCTTAAATTTCATCGTTTACAACCCTGACTAATGTTGGTCGAAGAACTTTTAAAAAGCAAGCAGCATTTGACAACTATTTCATTCTAACATTCTACATATCCATCAGATTTTAAACCTATGATCCTCATGTCCTACTGCTAGTGCCTCAGTTTCAAACCACTGAGTTGGATTGCATTCAATAGTCTACATGTTTTAACTTCGACCAATTCGTAAAGTGTTTAGATTTTCCGAGAAGATTGATACAGCAAATAAATTACAAATTAAATCCAATGGAAAATTATACTCTTCTCTTTGTTAATTTGTAAAGTGATATTATTATTTGCACATCACAAAGATATGAATGAATACAAATTAATAGCTCGATAATATTTTACGTTGTCTGATCGTTTTTGTATGTTACATTTTCTATATATATGTGCCCAACCAGCTACTTAAGCGAGAAAATCAAGAATGAGCGGGAAACTTTTATTAATTAACCCTAATGTATAACTCATTAATACAGATGCATAACTTTTAGAAAACGAAGCCATATTTTCAACCAATAGTGTGTTTATGTCCGTAGAAAGTGCAACTAAATGTTCTCTAATTGTATATCCTCGTTAGCATCTCTCACTTATCACTTGGTCTATATCTGATTGGCACAGCGTATTATTTTACTGCACAAATTATGGATGAACTTTGTGTTCCAATCAAACATTCATTCGACTCGCCATATGATAACTATTGTGACAAGTGCACATTTTCCTTAAAACTTAAACTAAGGAACTAAGCAATTATTTGGTACTACTGTAAGTTGGTGTTAGCCTGACATGCTTGTATTAGTTTATATATCGTTGAGAAAATTCGGAAAGAAAGAAAGATTTCAAAAAGAATGATCTATACTTAGTTATTGAATAATTTTGTCCATTAGTTTTCCGTAAAACATGTTCAAATTATTTTCTTCATAATTGATTTGTATATTCCATTGTTTCTGTTTAAAACAGTTCTTGATAAAAGCAATGATTTTATTAATAGAATGATATATTAATCGTTAAAGCAACCAAATGAAATATTACAAGTAATTCTGTTTATATACTTAGATGTACTCTTCATCTTTTAGCATGATATTTTCATATCAGTGTAGGTATACTCTTCCAATAATTGTATGTAGGATCGCAAACAAAAGTCATAGTTTTCAGTGTATCAATGTGAAGTCATAGAGAAACAAATGTTCGTTTTTACCTGCTTCTTTTCATCATTGTCTGTTGAATAAACCCATCTTAAAATATTCTATAGTGGAATCAGCAAATGTTGTCATTCCTCTTCAGCACTGAATAGCTCGTCAATTGTATAAGTTTTTTTTTTTTGTACGAATTACAAATGGTCTGTTCTTTATTGAGAATATAAAACATTCATAAAAAAATCATTAATGAATTTAATTTAAATACATTGAAATTACTTAACATTTACTAAATTTCAATCAAGTATAATTACTTTGGGATGGATAAAATAATTTCTGTGGTATTCACTCGTTTTCTAATTTTTCTTAGGCTTTTCTCAAGTCGATTATCATTTGATATTTTTTAAAGCTGATATATGGTCATTTCGAACGTTTAATCTACATAATTATGCTAATGTAAATCACTGATGATGATATTTGTGACAAATTTGTTTTGTCTAAGGATAATTTATTTCATCACCTCTAAATTAATAAATATTTTGTACGTTTGTTAGATGCGTCAACGCGAATTGGCCGATTGTGTCCAACTTCGTCAACTACGTTTTCAGCTGAGCTTACTCACAGAACGAACAGAGTCTCTTGCCAAAAATCAAATGATTAATGATAATATTCCTCTATCAGATCAAGATTTAATCAGCGAAACTAAACGTTTATCGTTAGAAGAGGAAAAAATTTCCTTACGTGTAGGTACTCTGTCGTAATGTTGATCTTTTTTTCTTTTATCTCCGTTTGTTTACTTTATCTATGAACTGCCTACAATCATATTGATACTATTGTTAAAATAAGGTTAAACTATATGATCTAACATGTCTTAGTTACTTTACATCAACAGATTATTTGATCGGAAGCAATTTAAACATGTTAAGTGACTACGTTTTTGATCCACTATCTTGATGATTTTAACTACTGATAACTGAAATTATTTATTTCGTGTTGATAGTCTTTTCATAAAACTGATATTATCTTCTCTTTTCTATGGGCAATTTATCTACTAATTTTAATCGGTAGGATGGATTAATTCCCTAAATACGAATACAGTTCTAATAGTGTTTGGACAAGGATAAGGTTGGGGGTTGGTTTCATTATTGATCGTTTCCACTCATTGGTCATTATATCTGTCCTATTTAGTCTCAAAGGTAATCACAATCGTCCCTGCATATGAAGGAGATTTATACCATTCTGTTAGGATATTCATCCAATATCCTAAGAGAATTATTGGTCTATTCCTATTGGTTGATTCCTACTGGTCAATTTTATGGTCGTCCTAGATATCAATGTCACGTACTCCAATGTTGTTTCTTATTGGTTGTCTTGACTATCTATGTCACTACAAATGTTGCTTCCTGTTGGTCGTCTTAACTGTCAATGTCACAGAATTCAATTCTTTTTCCTATTCGACCAAAATGTATAAATACGCATTATGTGTAACGTTTTATGACCACGACCAGGACCAAGACCCGGTCCTAGATCCCTAGTCCGGGATCCTGATTCTCTTCTGGATTCGGACCTCGTACTTTCTGGATGTTTGTAGAATACATGTTCTACTTCATATCAAGTCTTCTTATTTTTACTCAATATGAGGGTTGGGATAATTGGATTTGAGTAGCATGTCGTGTCGCCGGATCCTCGATCCTCGCTCTCGTTTTCCGACTAAGTAAACTCGTAATAGTTCAAGTATATCAAATTAAAGTGTTTACGTGAAGGCGTCACACATTCACTTATAATAAGAGAGATCACCCGGTATTGTTGTTTCTGTCATATACTTTGCAATAAAAATTAAAACACACATATCAAAATATATGAATATATATATATATATATATATATATATTCATGTATTGCTTTTATTATCATTTAATTATGTATTACCAACAACTCAATTTGTTGACTGTATATTTAGAAACAAGATATATCCAATCAACTAAGTGAACTAAACGCAAAACTTCTTTATCTTAATCGTGATTTGAATGAAAAATACTCCAATGCTGACAATGAATATCGGGATATGATGTATCAACTCAAAGTAAGTATTATTTCCATTGTTTTTCATTGCTAAGACCAAGGTTTAGATGTGTGTTATGCAGTTCTCTTCAATTTTTTATTTAATAAGATCACCTCTGATAAATAACACATTTATTCTTCATTCAATTCAATGAAACTAAATGTAGTATTTAGGCTTCAATATTAATTTTATAATCATGTTTATTCATTCTCAGAAAAATAGTTTGATTCATCAATGAAGTTGATAAGAAAATGCGAATACTCCAAACCTTTATTTATTACTCGTTTGAATCAATACAAATTTTACATTATAGATTTTTCTAATTCATTCAAAAAATTTTCTCTCCAATTGACTAATTAATTGAGCAGTTTCTCTGCTAAAATATTTATTCATTGCAGCTTTTTAAAACTATCAGAGAAATTCATACTAACGAATGTATCAATTAGAATATTATTTGCTGAATTATTAGTTTTATTTTATCAGTGTATATGATGATCATTTTGAAGTTGTATCTCCATTTATTCGGATTACATGATTTATATTCTTTTATATTTAGACTTCAGAATTAGCTTGTTCAGATTTGGAACGTTATTATAAGGCTCTTGACAGGTATATGTTTTTTTGGTATTGTACATTTTTTTCCAGAACTGTTATATATATATATATATATATATATATATATATATATAAATTCCATTCATAGTCTCCCAAGTTTAAATATGATTTTATATAATATGCGTAATAGCCTAAAGCGACTAATTTTCATTTTCATTATTCACTCACTGAATATATAAATAAGAAATTCAGGTATACTGAAGAAAGAAAATTTTACAACTCTTAAAATTTACGCATTTGTCTTGCTAGTCGAATTCATGTTTAGACACCACTATGTTAGAATGAAATAATCAATCCTGGACGTTCTTTTTTTTTGATACGTCGATAGATTTTGTAGGAGGAATTTTTCAGCAGTAATTTTCTCCTAAATAGAATTCTTTATCTGAGATACTTGTAGTTTTTGGGTGTAACTATTAGGATAAAGCCGTACTTCTGATTGCATTGATGTTTCATATTTGTCTGGAACTTCTCATGGATATCTGGCATCTTAGGCGATACTGCCTCCCTTCATTATAAGAAGTAATTGGAAATAATCACTTCTTCCTGTACCGAAAATTTCCAGAAGTAGCTGTGAAGTATCAAAAGTAGGAGAATTTTTTTAAAACTTTTAATTGGGTCGTATCGATATCGGTGTTATCATTCTGTGTATGAATTAATGCATCGTAAATGAGCTATTAAATAGATCACTTGTATCAGTCAATCGTTCTAAAGCAATAAAGTTAGAAAAATATTCCTTGTTTCTGTCGAATGTATGTAATTATCATCCTAATGTTTAAATTAAGTTGTATAGTTTAATATCCATCTAGATTATTCCGAATCACTATAAATGTGTTTGATCACGGTGTAATTGTTTTTTTTTTAATTTTTTGTAAAAGTCCCGAAATTATTTAGTTTCTATAAAGTTTTTATTGAACACACAGTCAACATTTCTCTTCTTTTTTTTTAGAGCAATAATGTCTTATCATGCTGTTAAAATGGCTGATCTCAATAAAATTATCCGAGAATTATGGCGTAGTACATACCGTGGCAATGGTTAGTTATTTGTAATAATTAATTTGAATTAAAGTTAATAGTTTATGATATGTTTAAATGATGCTTCACATTTTCAGTTTTATTTAGTACTTTGAGTAAATACTTATTCGATTTACTAACTTATAATATTTTTAATAAAAACATGAAATTCAGTGGATTGATTTCTTTTCCATAAATTTATTATTGCATGTTAATGTATCATTGGTATTAGTCAAGATCAATCGATTTCAAATATTGAACCTCCGATGAGGATATTAGAGTTGAACTAACAGTTTCTTCGAGTCTTGGTTACGATGCCTGTTAAGTGTAAAGGTGAATCATACAGCTCAGACTGGAAGCGGTCTTTTGATTTCGTAATTTTGACTATGTCTTCTACCAAAAAACAGTTACCAATAGATTACCTTGTTTTGTCCTTTCACGGTATGGGCAACCAGCAAGCGACAACTACTCTCATACCCCTCCCTTCCACAATCAAATCTAATCCTTTTATTTTTACAATTCTTCCACTTTATCACTTCGCGCCATTAATTCTATTGATTTAAGTCCACGAAATCTTGTTCCTGGTCTCCTGAAACTACGCTCTGAACTACTTGTTGTATTTTTTCATGTTCGAACCTTGTGCCGGACGAGACGATAGGCTTCCTTGTTCAGGGATCTAGAATCTCGCACCATCGTAATGCGCATACAGGATCCAAGTACGATCATTCACTCAACTTTACCTTGTCAAAATGAAGGGCCGATGCGATATACCCTCCGTTCATCTAGAGACCTCACTGTTATTACACAAGGCCCTGTTAGTGTAGGTATAGCATTTGGTTCAAAAGCAGCTTGCGTGAGGACCGAGAAACCTGGTGTTGGAGCGCGCTAACGAGTTAGAAGCAGCAGCTGCATCTGGCAACTGCCGGAAGCTCTTTCAACTCATACGAGCGATTCTGAACAAAAAGTCTGGTTTGTGTAAAACAATCTGTGAAGCGATGGGACGTCAATCAATAATATCCGCCAACGTGTTGGACGATGGGCACAGCTTTTCACGGGACAGTTCAGCTAGTCTGCTGTCCTAGAGACACCGATCAGACCGTAATGTTATCCACGGCTGTTGACAACTGATCCACTCGTAAAGGCGGAAGTTCGCAAAGATTTCCAACTCTTGAAGCTCACCGAATAGCATTCATTGTGTACCCTGTCCTCTTTGTTTTGAAAGAGGCTCTGATGATCCTGGGACCATGAGATTTCCATCATTGAAGCGCTTTTTGAGCTTCTTTGTAAAGAATCTTTGCAACTGTTTGTGTGAGGCATTTTCTTCATTGCTGAAATACAACAGTATCTCTCCTAAACCTAATATTTTTTGTCCAACATGAGACCATGTTTTCACTTATTTCAAGACCAACAGGTTGTTATTTTTCATTTGTGCAACAACTTGGATGACTCTCTTAGTCTTCAGCATTGTACGAACATTCCATGTACCTAAATTAATGGCTACACGGGTTGTGATAAGGATCGTTGGCCTCGTGACTTCCGATGGAAATCAGCTGTCGTCATGAGACGTCATAACTCTCCTAAATGAAGGCCTTGTAATTCTCAGAGCAGAGTTTAAATGGTCTGAATTATTTCTTCTGATTGAAGTTTTTCGGTGAGTCGGTTTTCTGCTGGGTAGGATTGTTAATCCCATGCTCAATCATCCTCCTTTATCCAGGCTTGGGATCGGCAGTAACCCTAGAAGGGCTCCAGGCTAACTTACTAAGTGTTTATAGTCAGTAAAAAATAAGCTACACATGTGACAAGTGAATCAAGCGATGAGCATACGTACTCAAGTAAAAACAATCAAGATTGTAGGCGAATAATCGAAAAGACCAGATGTTAATAACTCAAGAGGAATGGATTAATTTGTCCAAAGGCTGGGACAAGCCCTAAGTGCTCGACATCTTAGCTACAAAGCTTTCCATATATATATATATATATACATTCCGTGTTTTTGTGTAAGATTTTCATGAGAGTATGTAATTGTTTCGTATCAATGATATAAGAATAGCAGTACGTTTCAGCCTTAACTAAATGAATATTTATAATACACATCAACCTAATGCCTGGAAATTCCAAGGTCAAAGAAAAATTTCTGAATAATTATATACGAAATGTTCTAAACATTAATCGGTGAAATGTAAAATAATTTTTTTTTCACAGTATCAACTACTGACTCTTGACGAACCAACTGCTAAGTGAAATTTATAATTGACTTTTCAGATATAGATTACATTGAGATATGTAGCGAAGAAGATACAGCTGCAGCATTGAATGCTTGCCGAACACGAAGAACTTATAATTACCGTGTGGTAATGGTAAAGACAACATCAGGAAGCATGTCGATTCCTCGACCAAAATCAAAAAACTCTACCATATGCAGTAATGAAGCCCGTTTAGATATGCGTGGACGATGTTCAGCTGGACAGAAAGTGCTAGCCAGTTTGATCATCCGTCTAGCACTGGCTGAAGTATTTTGTCTTCATTGTGGAGTGCTTGCTCTTGATGAGCCAACTACAAATCTCGATCGGGAGAATATTGAAAGTTTAGCTTATGCTCTGGTAGAGTAAGTAATTCTCAGTGACGTATATCTTTAAGAATTACTTAATATTTTGATGTGAAATATACCAGTACATTTAGAACAGTATTTTAAACGGTTTTAAAATATCAAATTTATTGTCTTTTATTGGTCTTACCTTAAAGGTTTTATATTCTGTCCTGGTATTTAAAATTGATACCGGTAGTTTATTTTTGTTGAATTCTGTGATCAGGGTAACTACTCAAATCATATCTAGAAGGTATCTTGTATTTTGGTATTGTAACCAACTTTTCCAATCAAGAAGCAATCAATCAAAATAATGTAAACGTTCAACGGATATATATATGATCGAAACCTATCATATAATTACAATAGAATAACGCATTCCTAATCTTGTTGAAGTTAACTCTCATCCCTATCGACCATGTAAAACGTGGAATTAGATGACAGTTTACTGCTAAATCTTAAGTAAATACTAACAATATAAAATTGTCATGTAAATATATTTCAATTTCCGTTTGAAAATGATGAGTAAGGATTCCTATTAAGAGTCAAAAATAAAATCCAGTTCATCAAATCATCATGACAAAATGGTAGCATTAACATTGAAATAATGTAAAGAGATTTATCGTGCAATGAATTAACTCCAATAAACCTTAAAAATTTAAACATATACAAACTTTTGAAACAAACTGACCTGCTAATCCATATTGGTTGTATTCTTTGACCTGACAGTGGATAGTCATTCCACATACACTAAATACTTCATTTAAACGTAAATACTTTTGTATAAGTTTATTGATGGTGTTCATATGAACAGTGTTAAAGTTTGCGATTACTAATCTTGTCAATAATATACACATTAGAATTAGTGTTTTATACCATCGAATTTTTCAGCTAGATACATTCTAGCCAACTTAGAATACATGAACGTCGTGATAAGTATTTGCAGGTGGAACTATTTAAACACGTAGAATCCCTTGTCTGCATTTATTGTACATGATTGAGAACATTAAATGAGCGAATTTTCCGGTCAATTTGAAATTGTCGCAAGATTTATTTTCATCCTTTCAATTACTAAACTAGATGTGTATCTGTGACTGTACAGTGATAAATTCTCCCCCCGAACATTATCATATTATACTTTTTTTATATTTAGAATTATAAAAAATAGGAGCCGTCAAAAAAACTTCCAGTTAATTGTTATCACACATGATGAAGATTTTGTCGAATTACTGGGTAGATCAGATTATGTGGAGAACTTTTTTCTACTATCTCGTAATACACAGTAAGTCAAATTCAATAGATCACAAACAAATTTATTTCCTTTTTTTTGTAGAGGTTTATCAGAAATTAGAAAAGTTCCTATTGGAGAACATTTTCACTGAATATACATATTGTTTGTTTAAATGATATAAATGATCTTATCAAAACTTCTTACTCGTTATTACACTAATTTTCAATCCGTTTTTCCCTCGTTACATTGATTTGTTATGGTGGTAGATGTGAATATCCTTTTGTGTTATGATTTTAGTCAGATAATCAGAACCGAACTCCGAACTTGAAGATTCATGGGCTGTGACCTTAATAAAACTAAATTAAAAAACCAGAATCTCCTAACCATGTAAATAATGTGAGCAGTGTATCAGTGAATCGATATCCATGATAAGTTTGTCTATTATTTGTTTGGTGATAACACATTGTTATTATCTGTCGTACGAAATATTAGCTTATTCAAATCAACAAGCATATTTGACTGACGATTATAGTTCACGATGCTAACATGTAGTTACAGTCCTACATCAATACCTTTTAAAACACCGATAATCATTCAAATTATTTTACGCTTGATAAAATAACATTTCTTTCGTCTAGTGTAAACGTGCCACCATACATTTCAGCACACCAAATATCGGTTTCTGAAGAAACAGTTTTCAAATGTTTACTTTTAAACATCAGTATTGCTGAATTAGTACTATTTTGAATGTTTTTATTGACAGTCGCGCCAAAAAATATTTCATGTGTTGTTAAAATAATTAACAAATTTTTATCAAAAGTGCTAAAATATATATTTTAAAACAGAACATATTGGTGTGTTTGACGTTTGAATTAATCCATGAAAATGTGAATAAAGTAGTTAAATCAAAATTTATGCCTAATTAAAAAAAAAACGGTTATCTACCAAAGACGTCCTTAATTCAAACTACTGAACTAGGAAGTATACCTAACATAATACCAAAACAGAAATTGACAATAACCGAAATAAGTAACAAAAGGATAGTATAAACAACTAAATATTTTTTTCAGAATTGAAACACATAAAGTATGAACTCAAAAGTCTATGATGATTAAGAATACATATATATAGACTAGTAATGACCGACATGTATAAATATCGAAATTGGTTGATGATTATATTCAGTTATCTTCAACAGGAATGACTCTAAAGCATTACAAAAAATGTATGGAATAATTTAAAACAGCTAGCTCCTAAAAAAATATTTGTGGTTATAATCGGTTGATTGAAAGCAAAACCATTCAAAAATGTGTTCTTGCCATCATATTTGATATTTCTTAAGGTCAGATGATATAAATTCAGGATTGTGAGATCATATTGTATATGAAAAACTTTTATTCTAAGTTCAAAACTTTTTATCACAAGTTCATCTATTTGAAATAAATCTTACTTGAATAACTCACAAGAAAATAGATATCGTTATTCTACAAAAAGCAAGTATCAGTAAACTATCTAATGGTTGACATTTTATTATTTATTACTTCAAGGTGAAATAGATTAGATTATGTTGAGTGAAAAATTGCTAATATGTGTGAGGTTATTTTTTCACTGAAACGTACATATTGTTTAGACTGTTGTTAAGCATATCCTTCTTAAGAGTAATATTTTTGGGTGAAGGGTTGTTGAATACTAAATGTCAAATCAGAAACTATGAAAGAAATTCCTTCAAATGATGGTCTTATTGAACGATTGAGTGAAAAGTCAGAATAATGAAAAGAGCTATTTTATAATGATTCCATATATAAAACTAGTATAATTGTAGTTGCAAGTCTAATTGAAACTAGTACATCATCCATTACTTCTTCAAGCTCATATGTGAAATCATGTTAAAAGATTTATATTTCCAAACATTGCATGGTACATATTGTAGAAACAAAAACTATGTCACCTTTGCGTAGAATCTCCGTAACCTCCAAGCATTTCTGTTGTTTTATTAGTAAAAATGGAATACAAACATTTATCTGACTAATGTTTTTCATCTAAAGCCGATATTCACAAAATAAATGCTTCCTTGAAATTCAATATCCAATTTATTCAACAGTAAGTTCTGTTACAAGCTGAACAATATGATCGGAGTATGATTTGAAATAAACTAAATAGCGCATTGTTACATATAAAATAAAATAGCACGTTAAATAAAACTACAAATATCTAAACAAAGTAAACATTTTGAAGTTAAGACTATGTAATGTCTAAAAAGGCTTGGTGTTTGGGCAAGTGTCAGTCCAGTTGGCCAACAAAATTTGATTTGCATAGATTTCGTTGATGCAAACTAAAAAAGATATAGGTAAAAATTTAAACAAGATTATTCAATATAAGAACATTTGGTGATGTAAATCCAGGTAGAGAATCACTCTATAGAATTTGAGTAAGTACATTATTACCATTTTGGCTTAAAATACTGGAATATGCTATTTTTATGAATGTGTGTTGTATCTGCCTTATGACTTAATCATGTATTTTGTAGAAATCTGGTTATTTGCATGTGAGATACACCACTTCCATAGTCGTTTCATTACTAGTTTGGGAAATGTATGAAGAATCAAATTCATCTCAAACTAAGTGCAATCCTCGGATAGTGTTCTATAACAAAGCCAACGAACAATCAGCTGGCATGTGTGTATTCAAGTTACTGAAGTAATAAAAATTAGGAGTTATAATTTATCTAGTTGTATTCATCACAGAAAAAAATCAAGGGAATTCAAGCCAAAATAATATCACTAAACTTTGGTAACTGCAGTTAACACCACACTGCGTATCGAGGAAGTATTTCATCACTCACCAATCCAAAGTCAAAGTTGACATTTAATGCAAGTGTTTGTTGTCAAGCATGTTCATCAAAACAGAAATGTGCTGTTTTATGTTACCTGAAATGCAAGAGATCTCGTCTAATCTAAGCATTGTTCTATAAGACTTTGTCAACTGTCACAGCTAAATCACACATGTATGGAACTAACGACAGCATGTCACTTACCATTCCACTGTCCAGCCACCCGCATCTTGCAGAATGAATCAGACATTATACTATCAATAGGTCCTGTCACTGACATCCATGGTATCGTACTTGCAGTAATGACTTCTGTCGAAGTATTCAAAGCATATTGATATGCAAACGAGTTGATTGAAATCCATGTCGTTCCAAAATCCTTACTCATCACCACCCCTGCACTATTGGATCCTATTCCAAACAATGCACCAAGTGGTTTGGTATATGCTATAATCTGTTCAACATATGGTCCCATGTCTGATAATTGAGTAGAAATCAGATAAAATTTAATTTGCATCATCCTAATAATAATAATAATATTTCTGTTATGTGATTAGTATGAAAATTTACACTGTAAGGAGATAAATTTCGATCGGGTATGATTTATATTGAAGTAGAAAACGATGTTCATCGATGGCAAAGCATAAAATTAACCTGAGTAAAGGGACTGACTTTAACTCAGCCTAAAATACTTTGCGTAGAAACTGAGAAGGACCAATTCTTAGGTTTACAACGGCTTTGGATATCATAAAGTACACAAACAATGTACTTTATATATATATATATATATATATATATATATATATATATATATATATATATATATTGTCTTGACTGAGAAAGTGTAGCGTATTCCTCTTAAAAATGACTTGCGATGGTATACTTGTAATGATATAGGTTCTCTACTAAGGTAAATTAACTGCTATTTGGTGAGATTAACAAACTATTTTGCGTAACCTACCAGACCATGTTCTTTCAGGTAATTTACTAATCTTGAAGCAACGGCTCTCCAAATCAAATGAACCCTTCATACTGAAAGCAAGCCCACAATAAAACAGATCATCATCAACATTTAGAAATGTGTTTGTTTGTCTATTAGGCAACTGTACAGCAGAGTTCCACAATGTGACATAGTGAGGTAAGTCACATGGATCTGAAAACGAAGATCAAAGCAAAGACAATCATTGATACATAATACATTGTTGAATAAGTTATCTACAGTTAATGAGTAAGAAGGACTAATTAATGAACGTAACAGCCTTATTCAGTTCAATCAGACCAAACTTGACGTGAAATCTACTGATAAACCAGCATAGTTCAGAGTATAATTATCAGTATGGATGTTTCCGAATCGCAATTCCTCATTCGCCTTCAAGAAATACTGACCAGTGCTCTCAGGATTCTACGTTTGAAATTAAATATAAAAAATCTCACTACTTCTGACGGTGTAACATTCCCTTACCCAACATTCAATTTGTCGGGAGCAATTTCAAGAAGATTGAAACATTTAGTGGATTTTTCCAGGTACTTCATGAAATGCTCCAAACAATTCCTGGATAGGATAAGAAAGATTTAAGTCGACGATGAGGAATTAATGATACTGTTCTACGTAACAGCCTTATTCAGCTCAGTTAGATCAAACCTGACGAAGGAACTTTTATCCAAGCTCCTCATCAACGGCACAAATCACCTACACTACAATATTCTCCATAGCCGTAATCTACTAGAACTCACCCATCTACGCTTAGAACTATATTTTCAATTCTAAAGTAAGTTCAAAGAACAAACGAAATAAATACCAGTGGGATCATCAAGATCAGGACTTATTGAAGAAGCAGTGATGCATAGACTAGGAGCCCCAACTCTACCAGTAATTAAGCTAAAAATGTCAGAATAGTGAAAGTAATAAAAACATAGTAGAGATAAAAATCATCAGGCACAGTGAATATGTTTGGTAAAGAAAATGAATTCGTGGAAAAATGAAGTTTAAAATCATCCTCAAGCTCAAGATTTGAGGGAAGATAAGGAAGGGAAATACATCTTAAGCAAATGCAGATGATTCTGAATAGTGTCAATCTACATCTACAACGTCTAGTTACGATAATTGCACAGGTCTAAATCAGTCAGTTGGAACCTGTCAACACTGCTCAGCCAACCAGTCACTGAATTCGCTTGTTGGTTCCAGGTCTTGGTTTGGACATCCTAGCTTCTCCTTACTTACTTCTACAATAGCAAACATCGTTCGTCAAACAAGGCTGTGGTTGTCTAATTGGTTACTAAGTAAATCATAGTCTTATATACAGATATTGAGAAATCCCTTGGAGTACATGAATTAATAAGTGAAGTACAGGATAATTGAATCATCTATTGACTGCTAAATATAAATACTGATTCGTAATTGTAAATTGTTTCTTGACAGTTATGAACAAATATAACTCACATGTGTACGGTCGGTAGTCAACTCGAACATGTATATGGGATCTAAACTTATAAAAAGTTTCTGGTGCACAACTATTCTCGACGGACACACCACGTTCATACGGTTTGCATACAACTTCAACTAAAACCGGAAATTTCACAATGGACGAATCAAAAGACTGTTGATACTTCAGTTTGAAGATAGTTGTATAACTCAAACCAAAGTATAAACGACCTGCCTGAAATTGGAGGTAAAATAGAATTGAAGAATAAGAAGTGTTATGAGATAATTAAGGATACTCAGAAAATGACTGATTTCTTATTTCTCTTTGTCCACAGGGTCAACTAAAACGATATGGAAATCGAGTTATCTGGATGATAAATATATAAATTCAGATGGTGTGTCGGTCCTTTTTACAAATGTTTGCGGGACGATTTAGAAGGAATTTGAATGTAGTTGGAGCTGGAGAACGCGTCGCAAATGTCGATGGTAGATTATCTACAATCGGAAAATAATGTCATGCAGTAGAACGCTATTATTTAGTCCATCATAATTTTATGATTGACAAGTGGGGGGCATTTTATTATATAAACTAATATATTCGACAAAACTGTTTTACTCACTGTGAACTGGACGGATTTGCTGATCGAATTCAGAGGAGATTTCAGTGAAATATCATTTATATTTCCAGATGTATTAAATAGGTCGACTGATTGTATTTGTGCGCTGAGATAGAGAATTATGGACTGTCTTTCACATTCCAGTCCTGTTCCATTGTTCATTTGAACCAGAGTTTGAAGATAGACCTCATTTCTATGTTTCCAAAATATGTAACATGAGTTGGATATGAATACAAATGATTAACATGGTTGATATATATGCAATATGTCTTATTGGTAGTATCATAAATGGCGTCAAATGTCATTAGGGTCACTCAACTGTCTACGATTTATTTGGATTCACTTGAAACTGAAAATTAGTTCTCTTGATCAAATATAAGATGGTTCAAAAGGATAATATACCCAAAAAATTTCATTAAAGCCGTAGCCAAACCAACAGTTATTCTTATCGTTTTGATATACTAATTGGCTGAACATTTTTTACTCTGATTTCTCATCTCTTGAGATTGCAGAGGTTAGAAAAGTTTCAGTCACCCTACCGTGATATAACTGCTCAGTACTTAATAACAAATCTTCCGATTGTACACTGTAACGAGAGATGTGTTTAAACAGATGCAACACAGTCCCAGTGAGTCTTAACAATACATGTTTGATTTTCAAACAAATCGCCACAGCAAATTAATAAGTTCGTGATTTATATAGGCTATAAATAATCATAAGTCATAGTTGGCCAAATATTTCAAACTCGATTAGTTAAGGAACTTAACTTATTCATACACTATAAATTAACAAATTTATTGAATCTGTATATGTTAGAAGTTAGGTTTGTACATTAGTTTCAATAACTGGGAATCATAAAAATACATTGAACAAAGTTTGACAGTAACCAGTAATAAAATTCAGATCGGGTCTTTCTCCACATATGGAACTGATCAACTGAATGTTCCTGAGTCTCAGGTTTGATGTTTACTTCGGATCTCGAACCGCTTACTTTTTTCTCCAAGCAACCAAAGCGTCATCCACTGAGTTTATAATGGCCTAACTTGTACAATGGATAAAAATTGTTACTAACTAATGAAGATTTGAATGTTGCAGGTAGTGATCAGCCTCTTTCCTCATATGTGAATCTTGTGTGTATTTTTCCCACATCTACATCATGTCGCATCATGGCTATTAGCTCAGAGCGCACATAAGCCAAAAGACATTGATCACTTGCAGTTCTTGACATTGATTGCTGCAAGATTAAAGCTTTCACAAGCAAATGAAAATCATGTAGAATAATATTTAATATCCAATACTGGTATTCACCTCCTGCAGATCAGGATTATTGTCATGTATGGGTGAAAGTTTGTTCACATGTGTGGAAGTTAAGCTGCAGTCTATGAGCGAGGCCGATTCCTTTCGAATGCCATAATAAAAACGAAATTCATGATGGAAGTTTATTTAAAGGGTCTGACTTTACTTTATACGAATACTGACATTGTAGAGGCTTATGCATAAGCTTTTGTGATGTATTTGATGACTACTTCATTAAAATAATAACCATTGCTTTACCGAAGTACTGGGTCATAAAATGAACTCACTTTCACCAGTTACCGATTATGCATCGATAGAAATGTAAAGTAAAATTCAAAATATTATAAACAAACCTATCAGGGCAATCACTGAGCGCGAACATTGACAGTTGTGATGTTACAACCTTGATTGACGGTTTTTCTAAGCCAGTTCTTATACACGTTACAGATACCGTGCTTAGTCTGATTACAGTATCAAATATGGCTTCGAACTGCAACGGCCAAACAGTCCGATTTTCTACCATTTGGCTGTCACTTAATCTAATGTCCACTGAAATAGTGATGGCGTTGCGCATTAGAGGAACACTAACCGTGCCTGTGAAATGATAATAAAGAATCCTTGAGAATAATCTAATTACTGTGAATTAACAGTGAGTCTAAATATAAAATTCACCAAGTGTCTAGTACACTGAATAAAGAAATTTGAGATGTGTCACATTGCTGTTTCATTATGCAATCATCTACGCATTTCTGGACGTGCATTTCAGCTCGACTATTTATACTTAGTTGATTTTTATTATATACCCCTGAGTATTTTCGCAATGTCACAAACTCATCACAAGTATCGGTGTTTCAATACTTGGGGGTTATTCTTATTCATCTCCTACAGATCGCCTTTTCGTAATATTACATGAGAAAATCAAACCATGTCATACTGCTTTTCTAAAGGTAACTTTCGAATCCGTAAACATAAAGATTGCGATTTTCCATTCTACAAATATCTGCAATACTTTATATTTTTTCTGTTTGCTGATGTTTAACACTGGACTGCAACTGGATGTATTCTCCATCGAAGAAACATATTTCGAAAGAGAAGTTGAAAGCGAAAGCGTGAAATAAGAATCGATGGATTTCGGCAAAAGTAAATTTGGCTATTTGAAAATATCCATCTGACGAGAAATTTGAGATCGTTTCACATTCTTTGCTTCATTTGCAGTTTACCAATCATCATTTGTTCAATGATTGACTCTTCGATTAGCTTCGGTATAAAATAATTTAATCCATCGTGAGGAAAATTAATCACAATTTTGGGAGTAACAATAGGCTTGTTCAATTTGGTTATTTATCATCCATTTATTTTTTCTAACTTCTTAGATATTTCTAGCGCTTAAGATACATTTGTTAAATTCGTTGGCAATTGGAAAGTTTCTGTTTACGTTCGAATGATTTTCTCTGTTTTCAATTGTGAATGTTCAGTTCCTATTGATTCAGCTTTGTATTTCTGATAACCTTGTTTTACCAAAGGTTTTTGTTGAATGGACAATCTGTCGTTCTAATAGTCAGAGAAATTTCAGATGTCTGGTTCAGTTCATGTATGTATGTATAGATGTTTTCTAACTTGTAAAAATGCCGCATACGTAGTAGCCAAACAATCGTCGCTTTTATGTAAGGTACGTATTATTGATGAATGTTAAACAAACATAAATTGTATGATTGATGTGAGCTTGTGAATCATACTGGAAAACTAAAGCAAATATCACTTAGCTAGTTTGTGATATCAGATTACTTAGCTAACAGAAATTAATCATCACGGAGTAGTTAGTAGTGCATGATGCCTACAGACGATAAATATGTATTCGGAGTATTTTCTTTATGTACATGAATTTATTGCTAAATACCTTGAACGCTGTAGCATAAACATTGAGATACTTGAATATGAAATATTATCATAGGTTCGGATGAATTACTTGGAACAGAGAAGAAACCGTTTTGAGGCGATTTTTATCTTCAACATATTTTATGTAACAGGTTAGACACAGTATGATTACAACATTTGGGGTGAATATCGAAGTCGTTCTAACTACTGGTTAACTCTTACTTTTTCAGACAAGAACAGACAAATGTTTTCAGTGAGTTGCACACGTTCTGAGAAACTAAGACATTTATTAAGTAACTCTTATCGACAAATGATTGAGAAACAACAGCTTTCTTTATTTCGAAATTTTGATCTTAACAATTCCTGAACAATGAAAATTATTTAGATCTACATAAGTGTTTGCTTATTTAGTATAGTTTTACGTTTTAATCATAATTTTACTTCAGATTTGTAATTATCATCATGTTCATTAGATAAGAATATCTCTTCTTTAATAGATCACTCAGTCATTATTGATATGACTGATCAAATCTGTTGAATTTTTCGTCAGAACAAATGTGCCTTCAGTCGAGAATCAGTTTGCAATAAATATGCGTAGAGTGTGTTATATATCTGGTAATTTCCACTGATAACTTTGATTAGAAATAAATAAGGTTTTACCAAACAATTAAACATCGGCGGCTTTTGCATCGTCTACTATTATAAAAAGTAAGCAGCCTTTGGAAAATGTTGTGACTAATTTAACTATATGCTGTTGCTTCTTTACGAAGTCTAAAATAGTATCGTGATGTTCCCTAACGACTCTTTGTACCAGACATGAAATAGACGGTTCTAGAGTACTTAATGCATTTTATGAACTGCCAATGATATGCAGATTCTATTTTTATAATGCCATTGAGCTGCCTCACAAATGTATCATTTCACCCTGGATTATCATTGAACGAGTAATATCACGTTCTCATGAGTATGAACACCTAATGAAACTATTTTCACATGAGTATTTCAACTGAGTCCATGGTAGATTTAATGAATGTTGGATTGTCTCTATTTGTATAATTCGCAATCAATTGCATCTACCTCATTCCAATGGAATCGACATGATTAGTTTCCACGTAGTCGGTTTTTTCTCATTATAATTTCAACATGTAATAGTGTGATAATACACAACAAAACATGTGCCTACTTATTTAGATTCCATCTGAATCCATAAACTTTTGGAATTTGTTTGTTTCATACTTTGTATTGAACTCACCGGGATTAATGAGATTATCAAAATAAATTGTCAACTGGTTCATTAGTCCTGTTTGATAAAGTGGTGAATAAGAAAATGAGTAAGTTGATATCGCCTGAGCTAAATTTGAACCCGCACTTATTTGAAAACCAGTGATCGTAATAATAGGTTCATTGTAACTATAGGCATCGGTCCCGATGACTTTTATATTGGAATTCGGATAGAAAGAATTTAGTGGGAGAGTATACTTTATAGTGACAGTAGTTGTTTGACCTGGTTGCAGGTTTACATTTGTTTGACTTTGTTCTACAATTATCTGAAAGAGGAACGTTTTGAAGCTACATTATAAAAATAGTGTTTGGTCATGGTTGAGAACATCATTAATGGTTTGTGTGTGTGGAAAATGAACGACAGAGGGACTGATGTTTCCGCAATTAGTTTTCCTGGTATACAGTATTTGTTTGCTAACTTACAAGAATTCCAAAGTGTAGATGTACAGTTCACGTGGTTGTCTCATTTCAGGAATAGTCAATACGATTGAGTGAGTCAATACGACTAAATATTCCCTGAATGACCGTTTTCTGCTATTTCGGCAGTATCGTGTAGTAAACACTCACGACGCTACATAATGAACAGCTAAAGGTGGTGGAACTAGTGTTCGGTAATGATCGAAATTTCTTTTTCTTCATTTATAAGCATTTTCTCAAACAACACTTTATTTGGACTTAATTTCACTTGGAAACGGTGAAAACAATTACTCATCACAAACTCAAGATCTTAAACTGACGCATTTAGATTTCTGAACTTTTGTGAAATGGAGATTATGTTTTTGTGGTTGGTTCAACGGGTAATCTTAATATTTTTATAGATTTGTTTCACTGTTTGTTTTAATCCTATTATGGTTATCTTGAATGTCAATAATTTTCGTTTCGGATTCATTAATGAATTACCGTTGATCTAGATTCTTGAATCTATTAGTGGAATAAACATCAGTGAGTTGCACTTCAAATTATTCTTTCATTCATGAATATTCACACTGGATGAATGACGATACTGCATTTTCGGAACTCATTGCGAGTATATGGTGGCAGTGTTTCGAAAAAACTGAAACAGCAATTTTCTATTTCGTTTCAAAATGAGTTTCTGTTGTCGTATGAACATCGTTTCGATGTTAAAATAATGTGCTATGTCATAAAGTACCAGCAAGATTTTATGTAATGTTTGTCAGCTGATCAAGTTAAGTGTTGCGACACATATTAGAAATCTAGACATTTCCTTTGAAGTTACAATTTCGCTGAAATCACTGCATAATGGAGTATTAGAAAAAGTAGATGGATTTATAATTAGATTATTTCTGAGCAATTATTGTCTTGGGGAAAAATGCGAAATGGGATGAAACTTAACTTATCTCTTGGAAATTGATTAGAATTACTTTTGGGTTCTGTATCAACTTTATTATTTACAAATTTATAACAAATGACATGTAAGTAATGACAAGAATATAAAATTTTAAAAATATTATTTAATGCTTACACTTGTGTAAACTGGAAAAGTTGGTATGAAGTTGAGTACTATGAATTTGACTGTAGAGTTTTGAGGATTATCTACAGACCTAAAATATACTGGGAAAGAATAGCTTGTCGTTTGTGTGACATTGCAATCTCCAGTTACATAAGCAATATATCGTATGTTTACCTGTATAATTTTACAAAGTTCAAACAAAATAATTGAAAGCAACAATTAAAAAAAATTATGGTTAAATAATATCAGTATAATGGGCATATATGTTAACGTGACTTAAAAAATAGCTCATTTATGCATATCTTTAGTCAACAGTTGCAAGAAACAGTCATGAATACTGAAATATATATATATATATATATATATATATATATATATATATATATTAGAAATAAATTTTAAGGTTCTATGACATCACATCCTATACGAATTCACGCTGCAGATAAATTGGTACCCAATTCTACAGCTGTACTATTCTAGTCGTTCACGGTTTAATAAATTACGATTCTCGAAACCTTTATGTGATTTTCAGAAACTATGACTACGTCTGTGATATAATTTTCTGCATTTATTCTGTTTTGCATGAGTATTGAATATTGATAGCTTTGGTATTTGTTTTACCTGCAGTTTTAAGGAGTTATTGATGCCAAAGTTTTGAACCATTATCATAGATTTCAGGTTCTAAAGGAAATAAAGCTTATAAAACATAATAGTGAAAGTATAATATACTGACGACTTTAAGTGGCTGATCAGCAAATGAAGTAGGAAAAAACATTTTCGACCTGAGTGGTCAACCCTCACAAGTCAAACTAAATGAAGGAAAAAGGCCAAGTTCATCAAATAAAAGTTGGACTAGTGTTAAGAATAAGGGCTATCGCTCCAATAATGACCTAGAACCTATTAAACACATCAAGTCACCCTACCGCATGCATCCTAATAGTACAATACTACCACGCCCTTAGAAGTGAAAAATCTCACATCAGAGAACAAACACCTTATAGTTATTCCCACTTGGAATGCTCTCTCAGCCAAAATGACCGCCACCCTCTCCAGTAGATAGCTTAAAAGAAGATTTGATAAATATGTCCTCAAACATGGTATACCATATCCCTCTTGGACTAGCTTTGTCTGATGCACATCTCGAAATTTATTGTTGCTATCATTATTACTATCTCATATCACTTATTTATTCATCTGTTTCCATTCTTACACTTCGGTCTTCTCATACTGTCTGTACTACCAATTAATAGGCTTATTTATTTAATTAGTTCCTAAATCATTCCTCATCTTATAATTAGAATTTTCTCTTTATTATTCTCCACATTGTAATCAACTGATCTGCTACCTGGTAATTTATTAGTTGCTGGTATCAAGAAACCCTATTACCGCGAGACAAATTCACTCACTCAAATCATGGCACATCATAAACAAGACACAACACGTAACACCTTCAGAAACGGTATGTGTTTGCACACTCATCAGCGTTCAAGATGATAGATATCTGACACCTACATTCTATATTCGTACGGAAAATTTATACACTGTATATTGAGTTCCAGTCAAAACAAGTTTTAGAAGATGCCATTAAAGTCACTCAGTATGTACATATTTGTTTACAAAGTATTTTATTCTCAATAGCTCTTAACCTCATTTCTATGTCACTATTTTTCCACTTATTAATATGTTAACTAGAATAAATGATGATAATTTTATCTGATATTTCAGAAAATGAGCATCGTGACAACAACAAAAATTGTCCATTTCAGTTCCAGCTATTTTATAATATCGGTAACAATACTTTTTTCGCTACTATTTGTCTGATCCAGTTTCATATTCTAAATACTGAAAAGGGATCACTTTCCACTTATTAATTGATTACCCGTTTTGTGATAACTAGATCGAAATTTGGCTGAATAAATTTGTAATGACGTGACATACGACTGAAAAGGGTGACATGGAGTTCATAAAGCTTTCTAGAAAGATGTTCCTATATTCCATGTGAAAATCGATTGTCTACAAATTAATTTGTAATAAATACCCTTAGTCAATTGGTCAACTTACAAAGTTACTGACATCATTTGTAACACAAACGGGGCCGAAATCCAATCTCGTATAACTAAAGAATAGAAGAAAAACCGTTTTTTATGATTACTTTGTGTGACATAAAGTAGTATGGTAACATAAAACTGTTAAAAACAGGTTACAAAAGAAATAGTTAGAGTACTCTACTGAAAGATATTTCGAAAACCATGACAGTGAAACGTCAATTAGACATGAGCTCGTCACGGATATTCAGAGTTGGACAACGTTTCTGTCCGTAACACCCTTCTAATCGAGCATCCCAAACTCAGTCAAACCGGAATTCAGGAATCAAAGCAATTGAACGTATATTTTGATTAGATGATCACCATCAAAGAAACGTATGATCTAAGCCGACTTTTTGTTGCGAACGTTTGTGTCGCACGACGTACCGAATGGTGACCTGTTGGGGATGTTAGATCCCCAAAATTCGCTTGATAATGCCGTATTTTGGTTTTCACGTTTTGCCAGCATGGTCTGATCAGATGACCTTGGGATTTCAATTCCCACCAGGAAAATCCATGGCTGTGATTGGCTGCTGTGTATTTTAGTATGCTATTTTCTTAACTGTCTCAAGGACGTTCCTATGTTGTATAAATAAACGAGAGTTGTATGCTTGATTGTACTGTGATTGCTGGGTGTTTGTAGAATATACTTTCTACGCTTACAAAGCCTTTTCACTTCAGCCTCGGATTCAAGGTAGCCTCCCTGGAAGCTGGTAAAAGTCTCGTTCGCGTTTATCGACTAAGGTAAACTCGTAATAGCCTCAAGCATACTAAGTGACGAACTTATCAGTGGCGACGGTGCTTTTGGAAATATGGATCCTGCCAAACTTGAATTACTACTTGAGCAGCAGCTGAAACTGATGCAGATGTTGACAGACATGAAGATTTCCCCTTCCACGCAGCCCAGCTCATCTAATGCAACCACAGCTCCATCGGTCGACGGCATCGCAAATAGCATATCTGAATTTCATTATGATCCTGATGCAAATTTCACTTTTGACATGTGGTTCCGGCGTTATGATGATTTATTTAAATTTGATTTCGCCAACCAAGATGATGCTTGGAAGGTTCGGCTGCTACTTTGAAAGTTGGGCGCAAGTGAGCTGGATAAGTACTGCAATTTGATTCTGCCTTTGAACCCACGAGATTGTTCACTTTCTGAGACTGTTCAGACTTTAAGCCAACATTTTGGCGATAACTCGTCACTGTTTAATACTCGATATCGATGTTTGAAGCTAATTATGAACGAAGATGATGACTTTCTTTCGCATGTGGGCATCGTCAACCGTGAATGCGAACGCTTTCGGTTGAAGTCTTTGTCGGAAGATCAGTTCAAAGCCCTTATACTCATCTGCAGCCTCCAATCGAGTAAGTTCGGTGATATTAGAACAAGGCTACTAAGTTGTTTAGAGCAAGATCCGAAGCTTACGCTTAATGATATGGCTCATGAGTACCAACGTCTCACTAACCTACAACGAGACTCAACAATAGTGCAGAGTGGTAGTTCATGCCGATCTGAAATTCATTTGGTACAGCAGCCACCTTATCATAATAAGTCTGCCCATGCTACACCCAGTTCATCCCGCTCCAATTCTGCCCAAAAACCCAAAATGAATCCACCTTCTGCTTGCTGGCACTGCTGCTCATGGCACTATGTACGGAACTGCCCATTTAGGCAGCATAGATGCAGGAAGTGTAAAGTCATCGGTCATAAAGATGGCTTTTGCCTACAGAAAAAGCCAAAGCGATCCAGAAGTGCTAAGAAGCCTGTTCCTAGATCCAGTACCAATGCATTGAGCCTAATATCTTCCTGCCAAAGCTCATCACCAGGTGAGAGGAAATTTATTACTCTTAATATTAACGGGCAATTGTGTAGATTGCAAATAGATACTGCATCTGATGTCACTATCCTCTCACGCAAAAATTGGACCAAACTGGGTAGCCCAAGCCTGCAGCACACAACACAAAAGCCTCGTACAGCATGTGGTAATTATCTTCGTCTGTTAGGACAATTGGAATGTGAAGTTGCTTTCCGAGATTCGTCGTTTACTGGGGTATGCTATATAACGCCAGCTGATCTAAATTTACTTGGTTTAGATTGGTTCGACCAGCTAAAATTGGCTGATGTCCCGTTAAATACCATATGCAACCTGGTATCACAACCACATGACCCCGAAGCATATACGAAGAAGCTGATGGCAGAGTTTTCAACCATTTTTGAACCTGGATTAGGTCGGTGCACTGCTATGAAAGCAACACTTCGTTTGAAACATGGGGCTAAGCCTGCTTTTCGTCCAAAGAGACCTGTACCTTATGCAACAGTAGCAACAGTAGATGAAGAGCTGGATCGCCTTCAACGACAAGGAGTTATTACTCCCGTTTCTTACTCCAGTTGGGCAGCACCTATAGTCGTTATCAAGAAGGCCAACGACACGATACGTATATGTGCTGACTTCTCTACAGGTCTCAACGCAACTCTAGAACAGCATCATTATCCTCTGCCAGTCCCAGCAGATCTGTTCACTATGCTGAATGGGGGAAAGTTCTTCGCAAAGCTTGACCTAGCTGATGCTTATTTGCAAGTGGAAGTCGATGAAGCATCTAAAGAGCTGCTTACTATCAACACTCATCGTGGTTTGTTCCAGTATAACCGTCTACCTTTTGGAGTTAAGACTGCCCCATCTATCTTCCAACAACTAATGGATACTATCCTGTCAGATATCCCAGGGGTTGCAGCTTATCTCGATGATATCTTGATTGTTGCGAAGACGTTAGAACAGCTACGGGAACGCACGACATTGGTACTACAACGCATCAGTGACAACGGTTTCCGGTTACGCCCAGAAAAATGCCAGTTTCTATTGCATTCGGTAAAGTATTTGGTGTTCATCCTTGATGCCGACGGTCGCAGACCGGATCCTGAAAACATCCGAGCTATCAAGATGATGCTCACTCCCACTAATGTTTCGGAATTACGATCTTTTCTCGATTAATCAGTTATTATTCAGCTTTTGTTCCCTCGATGCATGATATTCGCGCTCCATTGCATTGTCTACTGCAGAAGCATAGCACATGGAACTGGACTAAAGAGTGTGACGCGGCTTTTGGTAAACTCAAGTCTATAATTAGCTCGGAATTGTTAGTAACACACTATGACCCATCCATGCCGATCATCGTAGCAGCAGACGCTTCAGCATACGGCCTAGGTGCTGTTATTTCACATCAGTTTCCAGACGCGTCAGAAAAAGCCGTTATGCATGCATCCCGCACACTGACCCCAGCAGAAAAGAAGTATAGCCAGATAGAGAAAGAAGCTCTTGCCCTTGCGTTTGCTGTTCGCCGTTTCCATAAATTTCTGTACGGTCGGAGATTCACTCTCCTCACAGATCACAAGCCTCTGTTAGCAATATTTGGTTCAAAGTCTGGCATTCCAGCCCATTCTGCAAATCGTCTTCAGCGATGGGCCTTGGTACTTTTGGGGTATGATTTCGAAATCCAATATCGACGTACTCTACAATTCGGTCAAGCAGACGCTTTGTCACGACTCATTAATGATCAAGTGGCGGCTTAGGAAAACATGGTGATCGCATCTCTGTCAGTAGAAGACCACACAGAATGTTATCTGACAACCGCAGTTCGCGCATTACCGGTGTCTGCAACAGACATACAAAATGCTTCTAGAAACGACCCCATCATCAAGATGACGATGAAATATGTCACTAACGGTTGGCCGTCGAAAAAGTTTGAAGGTGACATGAAGCAACTGTATCAGCGGCGGGATTCACTATGCATCGTGAACGATTGTCTGATGTTTGATGAAAGGGTAGTGGTGCCAGCATCCCTTCGTGCAAAAGTGCTGAGACAGTTCCATCTTGGTCATCCTGGGATTAAACGAATGAAGTCCATAGCCAGGAGTTATGCATACTGGCCTCACATGGATCAACATGTCACAGCGTTGGTTGAAAAATGCATGCGGTGTCAGCAGGCGGCAAAGATGAATGCCGAAATTCCGCCGGTTTCATGGCCCAAACCTGAGCATCCTCGGTCCAGGATACATGTCGACTTCGCTGGCCCAATAAATGGAACTATGTATTTAATTGTCATCGACACCTTTTCTAAATGGCCGGAAATCAGCCCCGTTATGCCGCCCACTACAACTAAGACTATGCAGCTCCTAACCGAAATTTTCTCACGAAATGGCATACCAGATGTGATCGTATCCGACAATGGCTCTCAATTCACCTCTTCCCAATTCCAGACTTTCTGTCAACGGCTAGCCATTAAACACTTACGCTCGCCACCATACCACCCGCAATCGAATGGGCAGGCGGAAAGGTTTGTGGATACGTCTAAAAGAGATCTGCTTAAGTCAAAAGGGGAGGGGACGCCAGCCGAAGCGTTACAAAATTTCTTGTACGCCTATCGGACAACACCAAATGAATTGTTACCGGAGCAAAAGTCCCCAGCTGAAATCCTGATGGGAAGAAGATTGAAAACGATCCACAGCCTGATGCATCCGACTAATGCACCCTCATCAGTAGAGACAAAGCAGCAAAGACAATCCGCTTACGAAGTAGGATGCCCTGTGTTTGCCCGCGACTACAGAACGAACCATGGTCCTTGGGTAGAAGCGAGAGTGGTCAGAAGGGTTGGTCGAGTTATGTACGAAGTAGAGGTAGGAGGTGATAAATGGTCACGTCATCGGAATCAGATACGCAGACGGCTAGCCCCAGATCGCCCATCAAGAGCAGAAAGCCTTCCCCTTGACATCTTGCTTGATACCTTCAACCTACCGAGAACCCCGCCACGAGAAGAAACTCAGCAGCAAGCTGTTCTTCGTTCTCGAAGTTATCCCCTCAGACAGCGGCGAACAATAGTCAAGATGCAAGTCGACGCCAGAAGGACACGCTATTAAAAAGGGGAGGAGTGTTGAGGATGTTAGATCCCCAAAATTCGCTTGATAATGCCGTGGTCTGATCAGATGACCTTGGGATTTCAATTCCCACCAGGAAAATCCATGGCTGTGATTGGCTGCTGTGTATTTTAGTATGCTATTTTCTTAACTGTCTCAAGGACGTTCCTATGTTGTATAAATAAACGAGAGTTGTATGCTTGATTGTACTGTGATTGCTGGGTGTTTGTAGAATATACTTTCTACGCTTACAAAGCCTTTTCACTTCAGCCTCGGATTCAAGGTAGCCTCCCTGGAAGCTGGTAAAAGTCTCGTTCGCGTTTATCGACTAAGGTAAACTCGTAATAGCCTCAAGCATACTAAGTGACGAACTTATCATGACCTAATGCAGGTACGCAACCAAACGCCTTCAGCTAGGATGTACCCAGGAAAACTAATGAGCTCAGCATCAATGTCAAAGACTTACACAACTATTTACTTTCGGCATTTATTTACCGCTGTAGACATTTAATTGAAGGCAGAGTTTATTTTCAGACTTTGCAATTCGCTTACAAAGATATTCGTACGAATAGGCATATGACAACTTCAAATATTTACTGAAAAAGTTTCCGCTTCTGTCAATCATCTAGATATGATGGATTTCGACGGTGAATAATTTTGTTAAAAAGGTTAACGCAAGTAAACACGGATAAGAAATCTCATTAATATTGAGGTAGATCATTTGAAATTCATTTGTAAAATGTCGGAATTCGCTCTCAAAATTCGTTATGCGAATATTTATTGAGTAGAAAGTGAATAGCATATATAAGTCACTTAACTACTGTGCTGTTGACACTGAAGGATGAATGACGTGTACATGAATATGAACTCAAGTGATGTATTCCAATACATTGTATTGGTGCTCATTCACAGTATTTCGAAAACTTCACTCTCCGATTAACACCTAGCTACAGGAGTAGGTTTATAAAAATATGTTAATTAAATTTGGATAAGTGTATAAAACGTCACTAGTTATTCTATTAATCATCGTGTCTGACATTTTTCCCATAATAACAAGCACATCAAAAACAATAATTCCGAATATGATCGTGAAGCATCATCAAATGGGGATAATCACAGTGGTTAAATGTTAGCTAACTGATATTCGTTGAAATGAAAACTAAGCACTCTCAGAATTCCACAGTGATATGTTGGTTGTAGAAAGAATATGAAATAAAATGAAGTAAATAAGATTAAAACCATTTCATTTATAATCAAAAGGAATACTGAACCACAGAAAAGAGTATTCTGTGCACCGCAATGTTTAAAGACTTGTCACCTGGGCTAATATGAGAAAGTTTAATTGGAATTGTGAATCTATCAACGTTAGACAATCATTGAAAAACTACTAGAACTGAACGGCCGTTTCATCAGCAGAGCGCATCCAAGACTCCCGCTCGCAGGAATCAAACTCGAAACTTTCAGCCTCGCGCGCGGACGCTTAGATTTTAGACCTCTGGGCCAGCATCTAACTATGTTAGTGTCTAACTTCAATCAATCAACGGTATCGTGCGACTTCACCGATTGTCTTTAATGGGTAACTGCCTCACACTCGAAATGGTTGAACTCCATAGGTCATGGCTTCTCACCAGGACTGCGATGATTTCCTTACGAAGCTAGTCAATGGTGAGTAGATGATAATTTTCCTTATAAGGTTGTTTACATTGTTGAGTTTCATTGAAATCATGAGTGGATCAACATTTTCCACGACCCTGTAACAAAAATTAATAATAGGAGTTTGAAGGGGAAAATTTGGTAGTGGATTCATAGAAAAGAAATTAATATCACTTTCGTGAATGAAGTTGGTAAGCCACAAAGAAAATGAGAGTTTATTATTTCATGTCAGTATTTTATTGAAGAAGGTATAGTTGAATTTGTGAGAGAAAAAGCCAGCAGTTAACAAAAAATGAGTAAACGTTGCGACCTACATATCTACATAGCTTATGTTCATAGTGAATGCTGTTGGGATCCATAAATCCGTTCCAATGTTTATTATAGATGAGTTTGTTATATTCAAGGCTATAGCACCAGTTGTGAATCGGCTGACCCACTGTGTAAAATACGAACAACGAGATCCGTACGGATATGTAGTAGCTGTTAAAGTAATTGGTCCTCCATTACACATCTGTGTATATATGTTAGTAGTACTAGGAGACACACTCATAGATGCCAAACCAATACTTGGCACTACTACCTAATAGAATAAACACATATTTAAGAATATAAACATTTTATGTGGAGGATTATGAAAGATAATTTAATAAAAATAAAACCCAAGAGTTTCTTCACCTGTAACTTGAAGAAGTATTGACTAATTATTGGAGTGCATTATTTCAATCTTTATAATTGCTGCATCTGTCGATTTAACAAATGCTGATTGATTACCTATTAGTGTTCCTCAAATGTGTATCATCATCCTTCTGCGATCATCTCTAATTGTATTAACGAATTTGTATGTGTTTAGAAAAGCAGGTAAATAGGAATGCCTGAGAGAAAAGCATCTACAAAGTTTTCGCAACATATTCCGCGTATATTGTGTCTAAATTAATTAAGGTCTCGACAAGGTATTCAAATAAATTATCAGGCGAAGTAAGCCAGTTTTACTCTCTTTTGCACTGGTCATTGTCATCAAGTTCATGAGACCTGACTTTTGCATAAAGAAAGAAAGTGTAATAAATTTATCAATACCTTGTTAAGATAATCCCCTCTGTTAATAATCCATTTTATGATAGTTGTATTAATTAAACGCCTATCATTTACATAACCACTTCATTATGCTTCATAACTGTAAGTAGAAAATAACACTGGCATTCACTCAAGACGTTTACTTCAATTTTATGTTAAACAGGTGACTTGATTATCACACATTCGGTAACTATTTGTATCTATCCGTTGTCTTTTTACTGCCTTTAATAACTTCACCGCCTTCTGTATTGATGATTGTATCTTCACCATATAAATACCAATCAGTTTTAAATATAATGTTAAATACGCTATTTTCTCCTGGTTCTTTTTTCAGTTCGAACTAACCGCCATGTGATAAAACTTTTTTATCATAATAATACTAATGTTGTTGTTGTTGTTGCTGGAAAGAAGTCGTGAAATATGATGAATTCATTTTATTAGAAAAATAATGTTCGTTCGATTTTATTTGGACACATCAAGGGACCATGTTTCATGAAATATATATTTAGTCAAGGCAGAGTTACCTGTTCACAACTGATTTGTTATGCATATCTGATGAGAAATTATTTTATTGTAGAAAAACCAGAGTAACATGTTTCAAATTATAATGATTGTTTTCGCACTGTGAACCGGTCTTTAAATTAATTTCAAAATCGATGGTGTTTTAAAACATTGATTCAATTAGTAAACTACCACTGCTCTCTTTAATGGCAAAGTTGAGCATGATTGAAATTATACTTTCCTTTCTTCAACTTCATTTATTTAATGTGTGCATACAAACTTCCCAACTGTAACGGCTACTTTGACGTGGTGGTTAGGCTCATCTAGTGTGGTGACTAGACTGAGTTGTTTTGGACAAAGCACATATTCCTTTAAGTCTTACCATGCAGGGCCGTTCGGCTGAGTTCAGTAAGACTAAACGCAGCAACCTGAAATAGGAGGGTGAATTCCGGCTTCCGCTTAAGCTTTCATGTGTCACAGCAAACCATTACCTGGGTTCTACTCCCGAATACACAGTCGTCAGTGTGCAGTGATGAGATTTCCTAAACTGTGACAAAACGGCATTCTAGTGCTTCCGCTATTTCACCGTTTGTCTGACTTACTTCGGTTTCTGATGTCAATAAAATTTTTCTGTATTTTCAAACTGTATTAAGTGCATATGCAATAATTAGAAATGATGTAAATGTCAAACACTAGTCCGCACAGAAGGATTGTTCTTTTAGATGAAAAGCTGTAGAACTTGAAGAAGATGTATTGCTAATTATATTCTTCGGTCATATGCTTGTGTTCCATTGTGATGGGAACTTTTAAGGTTAAAATCGATCAAGTAGTCTGAACGTGATCACGCTTTCGATCTCTTTCTCATACACTGTTTCCTCAATTCCATTAACAAAGACAAAGTTTACGGGAATCCCTGGATGATACGCATTCAGCGTCAAGCAAATATCAACACTGATCATTCAGATATGACATAAAACGAAGAACTTTTCATTATATTGTGATCAGGGAAAAGAAAAGATGGTTGAGTATGACAATATATTCTTTTAGTGCGACCATTACTATGTGGGAGTTGTTAACTGTATGTAACAGAATTCTATCACTAAATACAACTGCAGCCTGATGAAAGATCGACACTGATCAAATAGTTTTCAATGTTGTATCATCCTAACAGATTTGCTTGAATCAAGATGGGTGACAATTCAATGTCACATTACATCCACTGCAATAACCAGAGCAGTTAAACTGGTCGACCATATTTGTTTACTACTAATATGGATATGGCCCACAAAATGAAAAATTATTTTTGGTTAAATGATCCATCATTCTGAAACGTGTTTGAAATAGAATGTCACTTGTTCTGCAGGATTATGATAGAGATCATATAGGATGAAACTGCAAATTAATTAGGTCAAATACAACTTCAGAGATAACAATATTCATGAGACGAAATTATTGCTCACTTAAGAATAATTGAGATATATTTCATTAATTATTGTGAAGAAGATGACAAACAAAATCACATTGATGTCAGTAAGAAGAAAATAATTCATCGAACTCACTGGTCCAATGACAGTGGAAAATAGGAAGCTACCAGAAAAAGAAACTGAACCATTTGTCACGTTATATGTAAAGTTTACTATTGGTCTGTTAGTAATTGGAGTGTATAATGCAATATAGTAGCTTATCTCATTTTCAGGCAGTGATACTGGATCACCTGCAACTCCTATGAAAATAAAATACAAACATTTGAAAACTATGAATTTCCGGTTCACATAACATTGCAAGTAAACATATCAGTTCAAAATATATTCCTACTACATAAAATTTCAATTGAGACTGATTTTAATGAATGAAGTACAATGTTCATTGGAAATAAATGTTTATTTTCGCAATCAGATATTGAATTATGTTTTTTAAACAGTTACGAGACAGTTTCACTGTCAGTCTTAAATTATTTTAATTCAATCGAAATTTCCATAAGAAGTAACTGCTTTGAGTACTTCTTATGTGGAACGGGATAACGAAAACAGAGACACATATTGTAGTGAGAAATTGTTTTCGAATGTGCATGTTAATTTCGGAGAAAGCTAATTCATTGAAGAATGCCTTTTGTCGAATTCATTCCAAAAACAATAACATAAGTGTGCACGCACAAAAATGTCAGTCAAGAGATAATCAGTAACTTTGTGTCAACCTTTGAAAATGTTCTTTGGTACGGAATGTTCAGCTAGAGAAGGAATATAAATGGGAAAGCACTGGAGAACCTTTTTATGCAACCCTCTGACTCGTCATTAATACCTATTCAATAATTTCGTATGAATGTAAATTTGAGTTCCTATTGGCTGTACAATACTACGCTAACTACCAGATTAGATAATCACTGGCTGTTTATAACACCAGCTTCCAGTTATAAACACAAGAAGAGTGAAAAACCAGAACGCAGTTGTTGTGTACTGTTATATTTTCTTCGGTGGTCCTGAAAAGGATGTCACTCCACAACGGAGATTTGCTTGGAATTAGTATGTTTGTCTGCAAATAATTCATATTTTCAGCTATCATTAGAAAACTGATTACATGAATGATAAGTGAATGGTTGATCAACTACAAAAGTATTTATTTCGTACGACAATATAGATGAAAAGCAAGAATTCCAAGTGAGAAAGTTATGCTAACAATGTGATAGTAATAAGAAATAGTGATGATTTAATAAATAGTTTATATGAGAAAAAATGATGTAGTTTGTTATAAAACATTTCACCCACTAGTTATGGATCATCTGTTGTTAAATCTTCTGAACTATGAGTTACGATATCATTGACAACATGTTACAAATGACACTGAATCACTAATCCTAAAGTGAATGGTGTAAATCTAATAAACGCCATAAAATATTGGTGCTTTTTGTCGATTTTTCGTCTTGACAATCAATGTCATAAATCAATCCGCGTCTGTTTAGTTCAGTATTCCGTATTCTTGACATCAATGTTGGGACAGGGAGTATTCGAATCGATTTCAGAGAACAATATCTATCGAAGTAACGCCGTTGTTGTTTGGACATTATTATTGCACCAGTTGATTGAAACGAAATGTTAACTAAATATTTAGAGTGGTGTAAATATGTAGCACACAATTTGAAATGGTTTTCCCTGATGGCAAATGTTGACAAACTGTCCAGTTTATTTATCGACGTTTAACTTAACGGTAACTCCGCCTTCAGCCCCTTAGGCGTTACTGTCGGTTCAAAGCACGGATAAAGGAGGATGGTTGGGGATGGGGTTACCGGACCTATCCCGTTCAAAACCAACTCGACAATAAAACACTAAGCAGGAAAATTCGAACCATTTTATCTCTGCCCTAGGAGTTAGAAGGTCTACATCCAGAAGAGTTATGACGTCTCATGATGAAATCCGCATTTTTTCAGAAGTCGCGAGGCTAATGACCCCTATCACAACCAGAGTAACCATTCTTTTAGGTACGTGGAATGTTCGGAGACTGTGGGAGACCGGGAGACCACTGCAAGTTGCTGTAGAAATGAAAAGATACAACCTGGAGGTGATTGGAATCAGTGAAACGCATTGAACGCTGGTTGGACAACTAAGACTATCTTCAGAAGAGCTGCTGTTTTACTCCGACCATGAAGAAGAAAATGCCTCATACGCACACAGGGAGTTGCAATTATGCTGTCCAAACAAGCACAAAAGGCACTGAGAGTATGGGAATCTCATGTACATAAGATAAATGCTGGATATGTTGGTTAATAAATAGCTATTTGTATCAATAAACAAACCTTCATAATAAGCATTGTCTATATCAACAATGATGATGTTGTCCAAAGTAGATGCAGTTAAGCTGGTATACGAGATTAACGAACTTTGACTCATGAGTTTGGGATTGAGAAATATGTAGTCGCCCCTAGAACCAGGTGCAAAAAGTCGAAAGTCAACTGTCTGCCATATGTTGGGTACCACGGTCAGTGTTAACTTTAAAGCTGTTATGGTGTTCGATAGAACTTGATTTTTAACAGTAGTAGACTGAAGAGAAACCAGTCCAGCTAGTGGAGCTTGACTTGCTGACTGAAAAAATAACCGAGAAAAATTATCTAGTTTTGTACTATCTAGTAAAGATGTGATCAAAATTCAAAAGTCTTGACTTCTCATTAATGAAAATTTCACTTCATAGAGTGTTCTATAAAAACTTTCTTCTCTTATATTATCTTATTTCCGATGTGCCATTTCCGGATCTTCAGGCAGAGAAGTCTCGGAAACCATATTAAATTCCAAGCCGTAGTTAAAATATTGACATAATCATACTAAATGGTCGTCATATGCGTGTGATGGTATATAACGAATTGTGAATTCATATTTTCAAGCTACAACTATTCTGAAATCAAATTTTGGTAAACGTCTGATATCGTGGACTTACCAATCTGAATAATATATGTGCTTCCAAAAAGTTTAAAGATAACACTGTCATAATAATAAGGTTTTCAAAATACTAGCAAATACTGATTTTTCTTTATTAAGACACTTTCACTTTAACGTAAATTGAATGATCAAACATTTTATAAGTTTATGTTTCTCTCGTGGTGTGTGTAGTGTATCTAAAAGTGTAGTGTATCGAAAAGTAATCTAATGACTCCTACTGAACAAACGGTGTTGAGTATATGCACAACACTCAGTTAAAGGATATTAGTCTAATGTAATCTGGTAACAGATAACTGATTTTTCGACAATTCTATTGAGGAGGACGATATAGTTTGATATAACTTAAAAGATTGCTATTCTCCTTAAATGATGGGATGCGAAGCCTGTTGACGTATTTTGTGGTACACAGAAAAAGCTTGCTTTACTCTACTCTGTTGTTTTATGGCAGATATTTTTGGATCAAGTGAAAAGCATGTGGGATAAAATATTTAATGAAAATAAATTCAATTAAGTATCATGGTAATGCTTACTGGATTGTTGGAATTATCAGTTTGAGGAGTGATAGTTAATGTCCTTGTAAGAACCGATGATCCATAGGTTAACCTTGAGGTGATAACAAACGGGTTTCCAGTGATTACCAGTATTAAATAACGAATAGCTAGATCACATTGAGCATCTGTACACGTTTCATTAAAGTAGATCGAAGTTAATCGGATTTGTGCAGTATCTCTTTGATAATCAGGAACCGAAATACAAAAAGAGAAAAAATATGATCATAAGTATCAGTAAGTACTAGATTATTTGGAATTCACAGGATTCATGTATAGAGTAATATTCAATATATGCACTAATAAAATCATTGGTGATTTCAATTTATCGTCGTTCACTATTTTTCTGTTCACTTGTAAGTCTGATCGTTTACTGGTGTAATATAATGTAGATTCTCAAAATCTGAAATGGAAAAGCTGAAATTACGTTTGTTTATTTGTTGGCACAATGATCGAGTGTTCCTTATCTTTTCGCGTACGTTTGTAAAAACCCGATGTTGACCTGAGTATTAGTTAGTGAAAATAGCATTTTACACTACCATGAATATCCGGAAATTCCATGTTCATATTATATGACTCCAACCCTAGTTTAACGAATGCGGATACACTCTTCGAAAACAGTACTAGAATATGTGCATCTAACGATCACTGAATGAAGTGGTTTCGTCCTATTGTGTCTACCTCTGTTCACGTTAAACTAAACGTTGGCTATTCATAACCACAATTTTGATAGGTAGATTTTTGTAACTAATCGATCGATCAATAAACCAACGAAAAGCTTTCCTTGTGATCAACCTATATTAGGTTTGATACAATGAATTCAAGCAAGCGATTCATATCGACAGTTACAATTACGGTTACTGAAGTGTTTATAACTCCAATTTAGTTTTGAGCAGTCTGCAAAACAATCATATAAATGCACTACATTCACTCGAGACATGAGATTCGGTCACTTCTTCGATTGATGTTTAACATGGGAATGATATGCCGTCACTCATATACACTTTAGCATGAAAAACTCAAACGTTACATCACTTTCTTTATGTAGCTACATTAAAATCGAGGCAAGCTAATGTCGCTGTAGGTTTGATCGAATTTTAAAACCCAACAACCACATAGTGGATATCGAGCAAGTAGGAAGACCATGATACGATTGAAAGATCAAATTCAAGGTTGTTAGTGTGAATATTATAAGTTTAGAGACGAGATCAGGCCATGTAACACCACACGCAATCGTAAAATTAGATCAGGATATGATATGAATCTAGTAAATCGATAGGTTGAAAACATTTCCAGGCATTTCTGTAATTCTGTGAGTATTAAAGAGATAAGTATTCCTAATATCTTTGTACAGAATTATGTGAAGCATTTAACAGTCTAACACTACATTTCGCTCGTCAGTAGTGACAAATATGAAAGTGAAACCTTTGTTCGAAAACTGCGTAGCAACTGGAGCCTAGTAATCGGGCCTGGAGAATCGTAGATTGATGTGAAAATGATGATGATGAATGATACATGTACATGTAAGGGTGTGTAGAAAATGAATATAAGTTGTTCTTGTTACTTACGGTCTCACAGCTAAGTTAAATGCTACAGGTGCCACAGTTTGTATCAAGTATCCAATTGTTTGAAAATTTTGTCTGAGTATATTTGCCTCGGTCGGATTGACTTGTAACTGGAAAATTACTGGCATGTAAACAAAATCTTGAATGAACTTTGCGCGAACCTCCACAATGGTAGTGAAGTTCACCATTGGTTGTGAATTTCGTGGCACAACTCGTTCGATAGTAAGTAATGGAGTTCTGGAGAGCTGAATTAAAGTAGTGTTTAGAAACAATATTAGTGAGTTGATTTAGTAAGTCTAAAATTCTCAGATTGATTACTTTCATTCTCGTTCTCTTATGCAGTATACTTGGATTTCGGTCATTTCCAATTATGATTACAGAAGACAAAAATGGAAGAATTCAGTGAAATGAGTAAGCAGTAAGTATGAAGGGAGCGGCTGGGTGATGGAAGGTTAGTTTAGCGGGTACTGATTGGTACTACACAGTTTTAGAATACTTCATTGATGTTATTTATGTGATCGACTGTGGCATAAATTCAGTCAATATAAACACCGGTCTATTCCTATATGTAATTGACATTATCGATAGTAGATATTGTCGATTCGGAAGACTGGAAATATTCCATGATCGATTTGCAAATATAAAAGTGTTGAATGATGTGAGCTATTAGCAATGGTCGTGATCAGCAAGTTTTCAGAAACTAAGGAGATCATAATCTAGCTTTCATTATTACACCATGGAGTTAACTAAATAAATGAGTCATCACTTTCACTAACGAGTGGCAATCTACTCCTGGTATGAATCTGATAATCAAGGATACTAATGTATCTGAAATACTTCACAGAACTTACTCGATTTGATTTCAGCAATCAAATTCCAGAGTACAAATATTTGAGAATAAATAATTTTGCTAAATAAGTACGTCGGACGTGGATAAAAGGAAATCCAGTGAGTGGATATAGGAAATCATTTTACGAATACTACCATGTATTAACTTGGTCTAGTAGTTGAGTGAAAATCACTGCTATTCCTCCTGATGATAATTCATGTTCTAACAACACAAAATTGTGTGCAGTATTTCCCACTTCCTTTCCGAGTATCTTCATTTGTGAATAGAGGCTGCACAAAGTTGAGTGAGTGAGTAATTGGAAACGACTGGTTTAAGTGTTATCAGTCTGTTTACTCTGTGAATTGAGTTACTGATTTTGATTTATTTGTTTCACGAACATTATTTCAGCACGAAAATATTATCTTTTCCTAAACCACCATTGATTATCCAGACTGTCAGTCAGTGAAAATGCACAGTGAAATATTGGTCACATAATCTAACTATCACATTTTACTGGTTCTCATTTTTTCGTCTAGTTATCTATTGATTCAATCTATTTTGCGGTCAATGGATGTATGAAATTCGCAGATCTCATGTGGTTGGCGAGTGGGATCGGTGAGTGTAATATTATTGATTTTCTGATATTTTAACTTCGAAATAACTCATTTTGCTCATCGACATTGATCTTCATCACACAATCGAAATTTGAATAGGCAAGTGAATGGATCACTCAGACTGTCGATGTATAGTTCTATGTTTGTCATTCTCCAAGTACTGATAAATATTTCTAATAAAATCTCTAACTAACAAAATCAAATGAAGCCACAATTCATGCTACAAATAAACTGAGAAATCAATTGTACTAACTTACAGGAACGGTCGATGTTGGCTGCGCCATGGAGGTTATTGGAAATGTTGCACTTTGTGTAAAAACAGTTGCAAACGGTACACGCAATACAAAATCTATTCGAACCACGTCACCCAGGACATAAGTTGTGTCATAGTTTAACTTTATCCCGACTTGAAAATTGTAAGTAAGATTGAATGCATTGGCATTTACAAATGTGCCGATGTAAGTTGTGGCTGATGTTCTGCCCTTGGAACTGTAACTGAAATCTGTTATCAATCTAATCTTCAATGTTGAAATGTATTTAAATGCAAATAATAGTGAAGAGTACTTTCATTTTATGGTCATAAAACGGGAAAAATTAGTTTTGAAAATCAAGAAAGGAAGAAACACACTGATGTTAAATGTCATTCACTAAAAACAAAACCTTTTCTATAAGTTCTGTGTCAACTTCTACTAATCACAAATGTCTACAGACCACCAATTCTTTACGCATGCTCAAAATTACCTAGTCATTTTAGGACCGATCCGATTCTCGATCTGACATTTACAATCATCGCAAATCTATTCGATTATTACAACAAGGATCTAAAACCTCAGTAGCTCACAATCATTGTTTAACAAGTGAGATCAGTTTGGCAGTTTACAGTGGTAAATTCCACTTCTGTTTCATAATGTTTATTCTAGTTGTTAATTACTGCAGTTATAGGGAATTTCAAAACTGTTTATAGACATGCATTCTATCAGACTTACTTTCCTTACTCCATTAGCAACTGGTAGCAGATAATCCACGTAACAGTTTTCTCCTAACATTTTACCTTGGAATTGCGTTGTAAGAACATACGACCCTGTTGTGCTCGGTCTAATGATTACCTGCACTGTGAAATATTGAATCGTTTCAGGTCGGTTGAAAACTGGAGTATCTCTTACTGTAATCAGGTTTCGTAAATGCTGCATAATGAAAGAAGGCAGATTAGGTAGATTTTTGCGAATATTAAAAAATTTGTTCTAACTTACCGAGTTGAAATTTGTATATTTGGAGTATCTACTTTCACAAACATTCATTGTCGAGTTTTGTCCAGTTGGTGAAACTCTGGCTACAAACTTCACTACTGACAGGCTTATTGTATAAATAGCAATGTAAACTGTTAGACGAACTGAGCGGTTAGCTATTGGTAGACTGGTATCATAAACTCCTAGAAAGAATTTTAAAGTGAATTTAGAATGGTACATAATAGAGTAACACTGAAACTATGGATCACAAACTGTCAGTATGATAGGTGCATACAAACCGTAACTTACAAGAAAATAAAGTAAGCTAATTCGATGAATCATATCACCATTGTGCTTTCAACGGCGAACAACGTGACCTACAAGTAAATCGTGTGTTTTTATGTAGTTTTCATTTGTACAATTACCATTACAGCGTAACATCATGACTTTTCAATCAGAAAGGGTAAGTGTTGCCTTATGAGTGTCTGTGGATTGATTCGAAATTTATGGCATAATATGAAGTGCATATTTATATAAATACTGATGAAAATCCTTCGCAATCAATCGAATGCGCAATTGTTTGTAGAAGATCAATATACTTGCAGTGATAGATGCAACATTGATAGATGCAATGTCACATATCCGTAATGAATCATAAATCATCCTGTTCAGATGGAGTTAAAAAACTGTTTGTTGTCGTACGGGAAATGCAATCAGTTTATGGGAGCGAATTATTTGATAGATATTAGTAGCCTGACTAGAAATATTCCACGTTACAACAACTCTTCTGCACGGTCTAACAAAGGGGATAACAACAACCTGTCTTATCTCGTGGAATCCGTGCGAGGTGTCGACATTTCGGTATACTTACCTGATTGGATGTTATGCTCAAAACGATTGCAATTCAATGCCCATTTCAGAAAGCTTCATATGTAATCCGTATTTGGAATTTCGGATCTTGAGTGAAACCGCATGAAAGTATGGTACACATTTTACATAGCACTTAGTTCTCTCTGAATTTCAGTACTTTCCTTTTGATCTCACTACATGATAGAGAGTTAGTCGTAACTGAAGAAATCAGGTGCACTTTTCAGCGACAAGACTTCAAAGATGTTCCATGAAATGATAAATCAGTAAGGTTTTAGTTGAACGGTAGAGTATAATAGAGCGTGTTTTCTTAAAAGAAGCTTGAGGTTCTGTAGACAGGCTACACAACATTTCACGTGGTTGGTCTAGATGTATCTCTCTGCTCACCACTCGTAACATCAGAGACCATTTTGACATTGGACTGATATTACATGTGCAGTATGTCACCTGAATGGGACAACAACACCGGTGATGACAATAAACATATCTGGAATAAAGTAACTAGATAGTTTACAATGTTTGGTTCGAAAAGCAGTAGAATATACAATCAGCTTAGAGATGTTCATTAAATAATGACCGGGAAGGTTTCGTTTGCATGCGCAAATGTCGATGATCAATAACGATCGATCCACAGTTATCTTGTCGGTAGACATAAGTTTTGAGATAATGAAAAAAATGAATTCATTTATGAAAATATGAACGGAGCAACAATTTTCAAAATGTATGAATGACGAAAACATGATTGTCAACAGAACATATACCTGATAAAAATTACTGTTATTGGAAATGCAGAAGTCCATTAGTAGAGCGCCTGGGAAATAACATTGGTTGTTTTGTTAAAGTATATAAAGGGGATTTCGCAGAAATCGACATAAGGCAAAATGAAAAATTCATCTACTAATCTTTGAATGACTACATATTTCGTCTTCAAACACACACTGTAAATATATCAATATTTCACAGATTTTATTCTCTTCGAAAGTCGAAAGTAATCAGAATGTAGTCGAATAAATTATGGTTGGATTCTATTAAAACTAGTTCATTTATATCGGAACTGGAGATAACTAGTTCTAATCAATAGGAGTACGAGGAAAACAAGTCAGCGCACCTGTTTTGACAACACATTCGAAGTGAACTTACCTAGGTTCTGTAGATTTGTAACGCTTAAGTACCGGTATGTCGTTAACACGGCGGACCAGGTCACCTTTTCTTCTGTGTTCGTTCTGTAACTTTCTGGAAAAACAGCAAATGTTGGAGGCAGCGACAGAAACATATTACCGATAGAGGCACTAAATTCATCAGTACTGAAGGAGAACTGTAAAACAAATTAGTTTACGACACTGATAAGTTTAACTGTGTACAAGGTATTCAAAGGATAAAAACGAGCATTCTACAATGAATAATATTTCACAAAGAAGTCTGACAGGTAAGTTTACTTGATGTTTAGAGCAATATAATATTCTGTGTTTAAGCACCAGATATTACTTTAGGTATAACGATCAAGTGATACAGAGTAGACCTTATTATTAGTCCATTATTCTTCATAAAATTTCGTGAGCTCGTCCAGTCAGAAGTAATTATTTAGACGGTTTGAATGAAGCTGTTGCTGGAATATCTCAACACCTTTCATCGACTAGATTGTAATCGTAAAATAATTAACTTGTTTCACATTCGAACAAGCAACAAAGCTAATGTATTAACAAGCCATTCAACTAAGTGTACTCACTAATCATGATAACAATACAGAGATGTGTGTTGAGACAGACATTAGGGTTTCAGTGACTCAGTTTTTACGAACATTTCAATAAACTAATAAAAGAATTCCTTCAATTTCCATATATCATTTTTAGGCGAACATCATTTGTGCAGCGGCAGTTATTAAAAGTCCGATACGGTTTCATGTGGATGAATTTATTTCATACTTATAATAGACAGGGTCAGAAGACGCGTGAATAACAATCCGAGGAGAAAAGATTAATTAGTTTATTCAAGAGCCAGGACGAGAAGATCGGTGATCGAAATTTGACTGATAAGTTGATGGCGGTCCATAGAATTAACGGACATTAGATAAGTTACTCGAATAATACGTGTTTTATCCTGTTATATATGCAGAGAAACAGCATAATACAAAGTGAAGCAAAGTGACTCGGAGAATGTGAGTGTGCTAACTGCTTGTGATGAAGCGTCACTAAGTATTTATCGTCAGACGAAAATAAGCTAGACATGTAATAAGGAAGCCAAGATTTCATACTAATAGTAGGCAGGGTCAGAAGACGCGTGAATAACAATCCAAGGAGAAAAGATTAGTTAGTTTATCCAAGAGCCAGGACTAGCCATGTTGGTCTTACATATTAGTACACACACTACAGGTTCCAACTACTAGGTACCATAGTATTGCCATCGTGACAGAAATACCACGATTCGCGATTAACTTGTTTTGACGAGAAGATCGGTGATCGAAATTTGACTGATAAGTTGATGGCGGTCAATAGAATTAACGGACATTAGATAAGTTACTCGAATAATACGTGTTTTATCCTGTTATATGACTCACCGTATAATCTCCAATGGGTCTACTTATGAAGAAATCCACGGAATATTCGTAAAAACCACCATAATCCACTATCGATGGACACCTTATAAAAGTAACGGCATCATTTTGGATCGGACAGTTTGAAGACACGATCATGGAGAGATTGACAGTAATCCTTGGAGTCAACAATGCCTCCATTCTGAATGGTAAACTGGCACCATTTGCAGGAGTTGGGAGTTGAGAGAAAAGACCAACTTTGAAACGCATTCTGATACTGAAATCATTTGTGTTATTGGCAGGAGCAGATGAAACACTTGTTTGAATTGTCATCGAGAATCTTGTCGGCTAGAGAAAATATCAACCACAGGATTTGTTTCATTTGTTACATACAAATCAGCTACTTAATTTTTTTTGTATTTTTATGTGGATTGTGAATTTAATCTATTCACATTCACAACAATAAAGCTAACGATCATGTGTAATATGATTCAATGGAATACTAACTTAATAAAATATTTTCTTTACTGACACCATTACCAATTATGTAAAAACATTGACTCTTGAATGCAATTATCAGTGATGAGTTATGAGAACACATAAGAGATCGAGATTATATTTTGTCAGATGTTTCAATCAACCTAGTCAACCTGGATTGCGTAAATTCAGAATGTTCCGCATAGTTGTGTATTTTTTTTCTTTCCTTACTGTACACACATTTATTAACCGTAACTGAAATTGTTCAATGTATCAATATTTATTAAAGTATATTCATCTACTTACCGAGGAATAATTATTAAGATATGTTAAATTACTGAGCCTGATTGCGTAATTATTTGCTATATTTGTACCGTTACGATAAGTGAATAAATATTCTATGTATCCGTAAGGGACACTGTTTAATGATGGACCAAATAGATTCATAATGAAATTGTGATTTCCAGGTGGAAGAATAATTACAGAATCAACAAGCCATATGTCATAAAGGCAGTAACTTGGATAGTTTCTGGAATATGCTTTGAAAAACGTGATGTTGATATTGGTTGGTGGTGCGATTGCCTAAATGATAAAAACATGCATCAATTCATGTCAATGAGATTTTGACATCAATTAAATAATATGAAAACTCTATACTATTAATACTTTTCCAGGTAGTTGTAATATTATATGTCTAGATATCAAGTTTCGATTGATCATAGTCTGAATTCAATAGTTTGTATTTTCTCTGTAAGCATGTATGTTTAAAAATTTACACAATATTAATTGCATGATTATTTATTTAATCATATCAAACGCATAATACCACCATGGTTTCATCTTAGTATGCTTATAACTGATTAACTTATTTGTATAAATTGATTCACATATAATTGTTTCCACTAACAATATCTTTTCAAAAGTGATCTAAAGATGAGAGACTAGTATTTTTTCCAGTTGCATTTTTCACTTTAATTGTGATGTCACAAAAATTCTTTCGTCAAATCCATTGACCTGTTATTCTTTCTGACCGTGACAGATTCTACGATACTACCTTACCAATTAATTCTAATGTTGTAATTTTTTGTTGTAAACCAAAATATTATGAAACTGATACTTTCATATTTCTATACGGGAAACGTGGAATAAACGACGAGATTTCTTTCTTCATTGTAGTGTATAAAAATATGCCGTCTGTCCAAAATAACTGTTGCTTTCGCTAACGAAGTAAAAGAAGCTGGAAAACCCGATACAGTTGCTAGCAGACATATGATACATATGGACGTATCTTTTTTATTGTCATTTTGGTGTTTCGACAGTAAAACATATATTCCATACTGAAATCGAACAGTTGTTTAACATAATTTTAAAAATAGCTAAATGAAATTGTTGTTGATTCGTTTAAAATTTTCTTCTCTCAATTTATCAAACTGAAACCAATAGTGTCCATCATGTAACATATATGTAAACATGGGCTTTATACTACATGGAATTATGAATTTCCTTGTCGTCTTAGCAACTTTATTATAATCTAATTCTAGTGCCCAATATAGAACCTTGAAAAGGAGTTATATTACACATTTTCGAAAATTGCAACAATTAAACTCATTCATTTCAAATGGACTCCCATCATATTCGTTCTGATTCTGGAAGATATTACATTGAAGGATGAAGTTACTTAACCTAATTTAGAACATCATCAATCTGAAAATTGGATACGTTCTGGATAAATCCGTAGGAAATAAGTTATATCTATAAACTAACAAACGGAAGGTGATCGATTTTCTTCACAAATGTAAATCAATTAGTCATATGTAACAGTAACGTTGACAAAAATTACAGTGAATTACCCATTTGCAAGTAAAGTGAAAATGTCAGATATAATTTAGATAAGTTGGTACATTTTTCATTAAAACTGAAGATAAAAATGAATAATGCAGTCACACATGTTGATACAGGAAGATTTCATTCGGTTGAAGGAAATAACTTCCTGTTCTCTAGCGAACTATATAAAATGCACAAGTCTCTGACTTCTCCAATCTTTCGGAATCATTAAATTTCAAACTACATCTGTTCCATCTTACGCAAAAATTTACAAACTGAATGTTCAAGCATAAGAATGCATAATTAACAAAATGTTTTCATTCAATCAATACACAGATTCATACCCTCTTGTCTACCAGAACCTCGTTTTCTATCTCTCCATCCAAATGTGTTTCACCAATTAAAATATTTACCACCGCCTCATCAGATATATTTGAGGAAGCATCTACATTCTTGACTGTTACATGGAGCGTGAGAGTACTATTATTCTTGATTTCTTCATAGCTACTGTTTACTGTCAATATACCCGTTGTGGCGTCAACAGCTACCGGTGAGTTGTGCAATCCACTTGCAATGCTAAATTCAACACTTCCACAGAACTCTGTTGAAGAGCTATCGTTAATAAGAGTAAGTCGACCAATAAAGTTTCCAACGACCCAGTCAGAAAACTTGGTTTCAAAGGTGAACGATGTCTGCATGAATTTGGGTTTCTCGTGTACTAAAATAATAAATACCGAAACGAAACATGATTTATGTCTCATACTAAGAAGACTAGTTACATGAACGTACTTGAAATTACACAAATCATTAGCTTTCGACGATTGTACAGTAGTCTTTATCACAAACTACATAACACATCAATCTTTCAACATGAAAGTACAATACATGATGCCAGTGCATATTGAGTAACGCATTTTCTAGATTTGTACTAGTGTGGTGCGAGCTACATATAAGTAGTATATGACGTGAGTTTCAACCTAATGTCTGGCAGCAAAAGATGCGGGAAGATCAAGAAAGGAAGAGTTCGAAAACAATGGAATTTGTATGAAACGCATGAATAGTGACAATGGATTGATGTTTTGCAACAGGAACAGTCCAGTTCGGTATGATGAACTGATATTTTGCAAATTAACGATTTACGATATGGTTTTCCGATTTTACTGAGTAACTCTGTAATTTTCGTTAGATTCAATTAGGCTGCCCTCACCTGCGTTCTCTTTCACTACACTTCTAGGTGGTTCATATCAGCAGCGTTGAGAGCAAAATAAATTAAACGAACAACTTTGAATAGAGAAATAAGAAGACATATTTTGTGAGATAGTACCATTTCGTGCTTTCTCGTCAGTCACATACAAGCAACATGTTATTTGTGTAAATACAGTTTTGAAGATAAGGTCAAAATTTTTTATTTAGCATGACATTCACTCACTAGAACCATGGTAAACAAAGGTCAACATACTAAATAGGAAATTTTGACCTTATCTTCAAAACTGTATTTACACAAATGACATGTTGCTTGTATGTGACTGACAAGAAAGCACGAAATGGTACTATCTCAAAATATGTCTTCTTATTTCTCTATTCAAATTTATCAAAGGGAACCACTGTTTTAAACGAACAACTACCGAATTCTTAAGTTACAAGCAACCCTTTTTTTATGAGAACCCGATTGTCTGGCACTCATATATTCTTTAAAATATATGAAATGCTAATAGAAAACTGATGTAGATGTTTCAGTCTCCCGATAACACTTTCCAATCTCGTGTTTTCTCTTGACAAGTTTGAAGTTCATTATTTCTATAATCACTTATTCACCAGTGATTTGTTTATGTTCTGCATATTTGTGGAATACATGAAATATTCAATCTGCCAACAGCGAAGTGAAGCCACAATTCGTCAGCAAACTACAACAAATTGCTTAGACAACTGTACAGTGAAGTTAAAAACACTGGTAGGAGAAGAGTATTTGAAATGATTCCTAAACAGAATAAAGGTATATAATTTGATTCCGACGAAAAATCAGGTCTGCAACATAGTTCTCGATCGTTGTAACCTAAATAGAGGTTATGACACTCTGTAGAAGAGAATTTGAATTGCGATTCGTGGAACAAATAAACTAAGAACTTCCCATCACTGTTCAACCACGATCATATGGAATCTGGAAATCATTGCTTTTAGATCTCAAGGTGAGAGGTTGTTCGTTGGATAACTGGATTGGCATCCGATATTACACGTTTCAGATTTCGATCATTTGTATGATGATCGATGCGGTAAAACTATGTTGTGACCATCATATAATTCGTAAAGCAAGCATAAATGTTTTAACTTACATCGTTCTTCACAGGTTCGACCAGTCCAGCATTTATTGCATATACAGACGTCATCGGTACACTGACCGTTAACGCAGCTCCTAAACGAAATTCCATATTGACGTTTATTGATAAGAATAATTACAAAAATAATACAAAATTCATTCTCAAATTCTTGTCATAGTGATAGTTTCAGTTTCTAAACTAACCTAATACCTAAGAATAGAACGTCTTGCTACTATTAATGATCATTTATTTGTGTAAATTGTGAAGATAGTCCTAAAAATTTAAAGCCAAAATACAAGGACATATTTATTTTAAGGCAACTAGTTTGAGCTCGATCACTAAACGAGGTCTTGAAACCCCTTAAAATCGTTTCACTTGCTCATAGGAAGAAATGACACATAAATCGTGCTAATAAATTACTGAATCTCTCATGCATTCGGACTAGGTTCATGAAGTGGTACATCAAAAAATCAAGGACGTTTTTATTTCCTAAGTTTATTAGACAAAAATCGACTTGCTTTTAAGTTGTATCTATGACAAAATCATCACTGTCTAAGTGTGTACTTCCAGCCAAAGGTGTGACAAAGCAACGCTTCAGTTTGTTTTACATAAACTCATCTCAGATGTTATTAATTCGAAGTTCAAGTGTCTGTATTCAAAAATGCTGCCTTTTTCGACAGAACATCCAGGAAACTACAAAAATACACGAAGACATTCCAAATCCAATGTTACTTCACGCAGATGAAGCAGTGGTCATAATCACAGTAAGATGACGTTTTTGGATTTATCAAGCATATTAAGGTTAAGGAATCAGAAGCAATTGTAGCTTTTCCGGGCAAGACAAATCCATCACCCAACTCTCGAAAAACAGATGGAACATTATGATAAACTATCTTACCTGACTCCAACTACTCTTCGTTCCCATTCTAACTAGAAATGAACTCATTAGGAAGTAGACGTAGTTCTAATAACCCTCAGTGAGGTTGAAAAAGGTATAAATAAGTAGAAGTGAAGAGTATTTTTTAAAGATTACTTCCAAACAATTTGGAATATTATGGTTTCGTATTATGGTTCAGACTGATTGAAACATCAGTACGAATTTAGTAGTGTGGACACATCTTGACAATTTAGTAGGGGAGGTAATTGCATAGAGGGATTAGTTTGCCATATACGATCATTAAGATATTGGCTTCAGAATAATCCTACTCTATACTGGAGCTAGAGGACATCAAACTTTGGAAAGATAAATAGAGTGGTTTCATGAGTGTCTGTGGATTGATCAACCAAATCAAGCCATTGACATGTTTT